AAACTTAATACATAATGAATCGTTTACATATCTTGATTTTTATTCTTTTTACCTTTCTTTTCGTTACCGCTTTTTCAAAAGAGGATTTAGTACCTGTCCAAGAGATTAATCCTAAACCTCTTATAATCAAAAAAGTTGGACACAATAAATTGATTGCAGAAGTTACATGGGATGGAACACTTGAAAATGATAATGGTAATGTTTATTCCCTATTTTCATATTTTACATAAATAATTCATTTTTATGACTTTTTTTTTAAAAAAATAAATAGTACCGGTTAGAACCAAATTTAGATGTTTTTCTGATGCTGTGACTGTTAAAGGTCCTAAGGTAAATTATTCGTCCTTTACAAACTTCAAAATAATCATAAGTTTATCTTTATTAACTAAAATATTTTTTATAGCATGCTTTATTCGGTGACCGTAAGGTCAATTTTGAAATAAAGGTTCACAAAAAGAATGTCAATGTGAAATGTCGATATGGGGTTCAAGATGGTTCCACTTTCATAAAAAGAATTCGTTTCCAAACCTAACTCATTCTTTTGTCACTGGGTTGACAATATTAAAATTATTATATCATCTACTTATTATTAATTGTTATCCAATATATTGAAAAGTGTATCAAACTTGTATTTTTTCAAGTTTTTGCAATTTTTTTAGCTATAATTTACTACATACTAATTTTATTCAATTTTTCATTATTTATTTTTTAATGTAATATGTGGCGCTGCGCAATGTTAACAAGCCTTCTCTTTGAAATGTTTACATATTTGTGATATATGAATTAATTCTACTAATACTATCATATTTCAATATTAGATGCTTCATAAAAATAAAATCCCGCATATTCATGATCAATAGATCTGTTATCAATCATTTTGCCCCCGCATTGTATCAAGCTAACACAGTTCCCACAGTTCAATTAGCATCGATAATTCCATAAAATTATTTTTACAAAAGTTTGCGTGTAATATTACACTAAAAAATCGACCCATTCCATATAACCATATAAACAAGGAGCATATTGAATTATTAAATATGGTAAGCAGTGTTGGAAATTCAGATTATTCTTATATGTGCGGAGCGCACATTATTCAAAAAAGTTTTGCGCGCAACCTATGAAGGCATATGCGCTCTTATACATAAAATAAAATAATAGTATGAAATATCGCGCCTACCTACATTCCATCACTGATAGTAAGATGCTTTATTATTATTAAAATCTAAATTTATTCACTTTTACTCCTTAATTTTAATTACCTTAAAATGAGAGATTATCATTATAAAATCTCAAGAGATTTATTTCAATAATAAAATTTTCTTATAAAAACCAAAAAATATTTTTCATAAAATTCATAAAACTTAATACATAATGAATCGTTTACATATCTTGATTTTTATTCTTTTTACCTTTCTTTTCGCTACCGCTTTTTCAAAAGAGGATTTAGTACCTGTCCAAGAGATTAATCCTAAACCTCTTATAATCAAAAAAGTTGGACACAATAAATTGATTGCAGAAGTTACATGGGATGGAACACTTGAAAGAGATGATGGTAACGGCGGGTTTCCCTATTTTATATTTTACATAAATAATTTTTACGAACCTTTTTTTTAAATAAAATAAATAGAACCGGTTAAAACCAAATTTAGATGTTTTTCTGATGCTGTGACTGTTAAGGTAAATTATTCGTCCTTATAAACTTCAAAATAATCATAAGTTTATCTTTATTAACTAAAATATTTTTTTATAGCATGCTTTATTCGGTGACCCGGTCCTACGTGCAAAAAGACCAGCGCGGTCCTCCATCGGTCTTCATAAATTTTGAAATTTACGATAATTCTGGCTAAAATTAAATGATCGTCACAAAATATCCTTTTTTGGATTCTCGTGTAACCATTTTTCCATTTTGGAAGGAAACAAAATTTCCTTTTTGGACTTGTGTAATGTCACATGATCATATTTGACCAATCGCAGGGATCAGTCTTTATTAGGACCGTGGATTCAAGACTGCGGTCCAGTCTTACAAAGACTGGAACCGGCTTGGACCGGACCGAGACGGACTGAGTAGGACCATTGACCATCTTTACCATAAGGTCAATTTCAAAATAAAGGTTCACAAAAAGAATGTCACAGTGAAATGTCAATATGGGGTTATAGATGGTGTCATTTTTATAAGAAGAATTCATTTCCGAACCTAACTCATTCTTTTGTCACTTGTTTGACAATATTAAAATTATTATTTATTATTTAATGTAATATGCGGCGCAGCTTAATTCTGCGGTTATAATAGCAAGCCTTCTCTTAGGAATGTTTACATATTTTTAAAATAATTTTGACGAGATCCGCTATTAATAAGATCATACATGCCTTTTATATTTGTAATATATTAATTCTACTAATACTATCATATTTCAATATTAGATGCCTATTCTGTACAATAATCTGTTATCAATCTTTTACCTCCGCATTGTATATATTAAGCTAAATCTGAACTCCACAGTTCCACAGTTCAATTAGCATCGATAATTCCATAAAATTATTTTTACAAAAAGTTTGCGTTTAAAATTACATTAAAAAATCGACCCATTCTATAAACAAGGAGTAATAATGAATTCAGTTATTAAATATGCTAAATATGGCAAGATGCTCCATGGTTTTCAGGTTTTTAAAATTAAAATCAAGTGTTGAATGGGAAAGTAATTATCGAATAATTTCCAACTCCTTAATTTAAATCGCCTTAAAAAGGTGATCATTATTGTATTTTGCGGTATATAAGCACCCTTTTTGTACTTAATGTCGGTCAAGACCTTCAGAATTCTGGCCAAGAGCGCTTATTTTCAGGGGTGCTTACTAATCGTAAAATACAAGTATATGTTGAATCTTTATTAAAATAACTAGAATATGCGATTTGCCGGGGACTTTGTCCCCCAAACATAACATTTATAATTAAAAAAATTTTTTGATATAAATAAATTGAATTGTATGTAAAATATTACCAAATAATAAAATTTTATTATAATTAAACCTATAAAAAATCATGTTTTTAATAAGGTTTTATACAATTTTTTCTTAAAAATAATGTTTCTAATCTATATAGGGATACGGAAAAATGCACAATTCCATATCACAAAAATGTATCATTTTGCATGTTTTGACCATAATTTATGCCGAATTTATATTGATTTGATCACAGAAATTACATAATTTAAGCATAGAATTTACACGATTTGGTTAATGAATTTACTGCTTAAATTACAATTATTAATATTAGTTGCATTTATATGAATTTGATTTTAATAATATTTTACTAAATTATTAAATCAAATATAAAATCCTTAGTATCATGTGATTATAATTAGCCAATAATATAAATTAATTCTTATTATTTAAAATAATGACGTAAGTTGTAATAAGTGTTTTAAAGTTAATACAGCTACAAAAAAATAAAATTTTATGAAAATTAATATTCAAGTGCTTTTAACCTGCCTGAACAACTTTCAATTAATAAATAAAGTTGATTTCATTTGTCCAAAGTGGAGATATTACGCTCTAAATTAAAGAAAAAGAAAAGAGAGTTAATATCATCAACAAAAATGCAATCTTCTATAAGCACTACACCTACATTCATGAAAATTAATATTCAAGTGGTTTCAACCTGCCTGAACAACTTTCAATTAATAAATGAAGTTGATTTCATTTGTCCAAAGTGGAGATATTACGCTCTAAATTAAAAAAAAATAGAAAAGAGAGTTAATATCATTAACAAAAATGCAATCTTCTCTAAGCACTACACCTACATTCATGAAAATCAATATTCAAGTGGTTTTAACCTGCCTGAACAACTTTTAATTAATAAATGAAGTTGATTTTATTTGTCCAAAGTGAAGATTATAATGTATTTGGAAAAGAAGTTTAATTTAAAAAAATTTTATATAAAAAAAATGTAATATGAAAATTAAGAACTGAGTTGACAAAAATTTGAAATAACATGAATTTTAAATTAATTCTTTCATTAATTATAAATTCAAGTAGTTTAAAATAAAAATAGTAAGAAAAAATATTTTTTATGAAATATCACATTATTTTCTAAAAGAAATACACTTAAATACACTTATAAATTTAATTTGTGATTATGTAATATCCAAATATTTAATCTTACAAATAGAAAAAAATGTAAAAAAAATTTATGATGTTTTATAAAAAAAGAAAAAATTTTAAATTTTTGAAAAAAAATTTCGTCTAACACTTTTTAATTGATTATCACAAGATCTGCATGATCATCTACACGTTTTAATTTTTTTAACGAAAAAAAGAATATTTTATTTCTTTGAAAATCAATAACGATCAACAAAATTAAATACAAATATAAAACTTATTGCTTGATGCCGCAAGTTAATATGTAGTAAAAGTGGCACAAAAATGAATATTTTGTAATTTTATTCTAATGATATCAAAGAAGCAATATTGCAATATTGCAATATTGCAATAACAACGTCTATAGCTATAGCTATAGCTATAGCTATATAGCAGCAATAGCAATAGCTATAGCTATATAGCTATAGTATAAGATTCAACTACGAAGTTCACATGGTGCATTCCCAAAAAGATGAAAATCTGCATGAAGATTGGAGGACAAACTACAAATTAAGCGAAAAAGTGAATAAATAAGGAAGGTCATGCAGGATGATCACCACTTCAAAATCAAATAATAAAATTTTCCTATATAAATCCCGAAAAATGTTTTTTTTATAAAATTCATAAAAACTTAATACATAATGAACCGTTTACATATCTTAATTTTCATTCTTTTTACCTTTCTCTTCGTTACCGCTTTTTCAGAAGAGGATTTAATACCTGTCAAACAACTTACTGCTAATCTTCTCAAAATCAGAAAAGTTGGACACAATAAATTAATTGCGGAAGTTACATGGGATGGAACATTTGAAAGAGATGATGGTAACGGCGGGGTTTCTTTATTTTTTATTTTACATAAATAATTTTTACGAACCTTTTTTTTAAATAAAATAAATAGAACCGGTTAAAACCAAATTTAGATGTTTTTCTGATGCTGTGACTGTTAAAGGTCCTAAGGTAAATTATTCGTCCTTTATGAACTTCAAAATAATATTTTTATTTTTTATTAATTAAAAAATTTTTTTTTATAGCATGGTGTATTCGGTGACCGTAAGGTCAATTTCGAAATAAAGGTTCACAAAAAGAATGTCAAAGTGAAATGTCGATATGGAACTAAAGATATTTCCTCATTCAAGAATGTATTTTATTTCCGAACTTAACTCATATTCCTTTGTCACTGGTTTGACAATATGATAATTGTTTTATTTATTATTTTCATTTTGTAATACTTTGTAATAATTAATATTTTTATTAATATATAATAATTTTAAAATATTTCGCAAGAATTAATGTTTCTATTGTGAAAATTAATATTTGTTTATTAGTACGTCGCATAATAAAATATTTCTATTAAATATGTAAAGATTTTTAAAATATTTTGAAAAACGGGCGGCCCTATAAAAAATGTTTGTCTGATAAATATTCGGAATGGGGTCGATTTCCCGAACACTCGCACGTTATTATACAATATTTGTTACAATTTAATACAAGATGCAGAGATTGAGAATTTTCGACCACATAAAAAACGTACAATATCATGATAATTGTCCAATAAATGTCAAGTAAATGTTCAATTTTCGAACAAAAAACCGAACAGTGTTTGGACAACTTTTTTTATAGGGCGGGTATCTTGTAAATTATAAAGGGTTTTGAAAACTTGTAGTAATTCAAAAAATATTTATTCAAAAAAATATTTGCACGTGTCGTCTGGGTAAAATTAGATTGTTTAAATAGTACAAAAGAAAGATACTATGCATGGGGACTATGGCCCGATACTTTGCAAAATTTAATGAATTATTGTTAATGTTTAATATTTAGTCAGTTTTCTTTATAAATGAGATTTAATGAGATTTACATGCTTTTATATTTGTAATATATGCTACTTTTCTATTCTATCAAAATTTATTATATATTTAGTATGTTATAATAATTATTTCTAGATTTTATAAAGAGATTAGCGTATTTAACATAATAAGCACTGTACCAATTATTAGTTAAATAGTTATTGGAAGATACGATATCCCGCCATACTTCCCCCATGTAGAATAAAATACCTCTATGATAGGATTTTTAATAATAAAAGGTATGTAATAAAAAAAAAACTACCCCACTAAATTAAGAGAATTTTTAAATTATTCGAAATACTTCACATTCATCTACAAAAAATTCATTTTCATTTTTTCTAATTGGTTTTTCATAAGAACTTTTTCTACTAACACATTTGTTATTTGTTGATCTGACTCCCAGTAATTTAAGATCACCATTACCAAATGATGGACCAAAATAAGAGAGATTATTTATGGCATGATTTTCATACGCTACACGACTTAAAATATAATTTTCAATTTTATCATTTAAAGAGAATATAAAACTATTTTTTGTTGCACCAACACTATTATCAGATTTCCACGAAATTGGATTATATCCTCCAAGAATTTCACTACTGTCTTTCACTTTAGCAATTGTTACAGTTCTGCTCTTATAATCACAGATTTCATGAAATCTTTTACGTGTAAGTCCATCACGAGATCCTCGATATATTAATTTGAATTCATACGTATTATATGGAAAATTATCTTTAGTTTCTGCCCTATCAATCCATTTTGAGATTAATTCAACATGTTGAAAAGTAATAATTTTTGAATCAACAGTTCTTAAACTAACTTCTTTAATTATACGACGAGGGTTTGATTTGTTATTTTGCTTTTTGTTTGAATTTAAAAAAGTTTTTAATAAATCCATATATATTTCCTTTGGTAAAATTTTTTTATAAGGTAATACTTTATCAGAAAATTCTTTAGAAGTTAAATTATGAAATCTAACAAATGGTATACATTTTTCTAAGGTATTCTTTAAAATGTTAAAATCATCTTTTGAAAACTTTGAAGGATTAGAAGGAAGTGATGGATTTTGATCAAGTCCCCATTTAATCACATTTTCCCAAACTTGAATTTCCTTCATTTGAAGATTATCATCTTTAATAAGTGAAATCAAAAGTTTTTCTGGTATTAAATAAGAATTTGATGATTTAAATAAAGTATCCGGTTTTTTGATTATTAAATTTGTACAATAATTTTGAAGGTCCAAGAAAGAATCATTCTTAAAAGTTGTTTGATATACTATATTAAAATTTTGTTCCATCCAAAGTGTTTTGTTTTCAATTAAAAAGGATTGTAAATGATTAATTATTTCTTGAAGTCCAAGTTTATTGGCAGCAACCAAGATTTTAATGATATCTGAAGTATTATAATCATCCAAAGAAAGACCTCCTCCATAAATATATCTAATAAAATAAAAATGATAGATTTTGTTAGAGTCATCACAGTGTATTAAATCATTATAAATATTTATCATATAGTCAGGTCACCTTAAGATTATTTGAAAAATTTCTGGTAAAATTTCCGGTAATTTAATATGAACCAAAGTTCCATCATTTTTATTTCTATTAATTGATATGATTCTTCGCAAATAAGGAGAACGATGATGTAAGATAACCATATGAGCTCGAAATACTTTTATATGAGAATCATTACCAACTTCGATCGTAATATCATAATATTCATCATCATTTAAAATTTCAAGTAAATTTTGAGATAATTTGGGTAACAACGATATTTTATTATCAACCATTATAAATCTGTATGATCTATATAATAATCTGATTTTTTTTTTAAAAATGGAAGAGAAATGAGTAAAAGAAATAATTCGAACGGTCAATTTTTATATATCATAATAATAGTTTCCTTAGTTTCCTTAGTTTCCTTAATTAGAAATTATATAATGAACGTATTACAACTTCCATAACCCCCACATGTGTAACATTTAATGTCCATGAAATTTACTATATTTATTTATAATTTAAGATTAAGGTTTTAGCCACGTACTTTCTAGGAGAATTTTACTATCATTTTTTTTTAACCCGGGATGACATTTCCGGTCATTGTGTTAGTTGCATTCATAAGTTTCTTTAAAAGTATAATCAGCCAAATTACGGTACTACCAGTATACGTACATGCTTTTAATTGGGAAATATCCTTTTTTAATTATTAAAATGAAAAAACCCCGGTTTTTATTTCAATAATTTTTATGATTCATATATTGACTAAAAGAGTGAGTGCATATAGAAATGTAATGTTATTTCGTAGGATCTACACATTATATTCCACGGAAGCTGTATTGTTACCTTTTTTATGTATTGCTTGAGGTCCTCATTATCCCTCGTATAAATTAGCTAATATGTATCGTTATCCCTCTTATAACTTATAGTAAATAATGTGATCTACCTTCAATTTTTTAGCTTTATTTCTACGAAGATAATCATTTACCAAGCCAAGTTTCAGTCTGTACCAACGATTAATTGCATAAAATATAATTAGGCGACGCAAAATGGTAAAATGGTTTACATATCCCAGCCGTGATTCCCAAATTTTTTTTTTTTAATAGTTTATTATAATTGGCCAATAAAAATGATCTATGTTTAATATAATGTGATAACAAAGTTATTTGACCCATACAATAAAGTGCGGTCAAAGTTAGTCAAGGTGAGTTACAAACAATTAATTACAAATTAGCAATACATGGTTTTCGTTAATTGTTACATTTTTTTTATATTATTGAAATGGAAAAATTAATTTAATGAAAACAAACAATTTAATATACCGCTCCTAGTACAAATTAATCATCTTTGCTAATTGAAGTCATTTTATTGTATAAAAAGAAATGATTTACTAATAAAAATGATACGTAGTACTTGCGTAGCACCTAAATTTTTCAGCGTATAAAATTTCGAGCATGTAGCCGGGTTGCGAAGATTTTTAAAATGTTAAATATTGCTCCGGTATGAAAATCATTTTTACCACTTTGCGTCGCCTTACTTATTAGCAATTTTTTTTTATTAATTACGTGACTTAAAATTATTATTTTCAAAAAATTATCTTTAGTAATTAGTACTATAATAATAACGATCACATTTCCGTGTCAGTCTCGTAATTGTTATCGCCCAGCAATAACACATGATTTATATAATAAAGTAGAGTAAAAAATATGGTGTAAATAAATAAAGCTAATAAAGTGGATTAAAAATAGCATAGTTAAATAAAGCTATTTATGATATTATTAATTAATGTATGATCAAAAACGTCAGAACGATAACTATTTGATCACAAATTTTTCATATCATCACGCGATCCACATGATGAAATCAATAAATATCAATCCATCCATTTTTTCAATTATATGAGGTAGTTTTGCGTACCGTAACAGAGTGGAAAGTTGTGACGTAATGTCGTTGAGTTGTAACGTTTTGCCGTAATTTTCCAACCAGTTGTAATTCAGTTTTATTAATATTGATTTAAATATTTTTTGTATCACACGAGCATTTTTTTAGGATTTCATTTGTAAAAGTTCATAAATGATTGTATACAAATGTGTATATCTAGATTTTCATTATTAATTAAAATAAGTTCCATTAGGATAAAAATTGGAGATCGGAAATCAACCATATCCGAAATATTCAAGTTTAAGTTCAACTCGTCTGTATGAAGGTGCTCAGCTGGATTCGGCAATTCAGCACTCTCTGACTCTTCTAGAGAGGCTTCTTCCTCAAGTTCATTTTTCTATGATATTTTTTACCGTTTCGGGTGAAATTTCTTCTTGAGTTTGATAAAACTGTTCTGCAGCATTTGATAGATTAAATCGATAACTCTTTGCCAATCCTTTTAATCTATCCACTCTTAATCGCCTTTCCATATAGAAAAAATTCGTCTCACATGCTGCAGATCTTGGTGTGATGGAAAATTGCTAATCGTTGCAGATGATTTGGTTTGACTTCACATGTATTCCCCCACATTAATGGGAGCTATATAGGGGTTTAGCTTTCCATTTACAATACGTTTTTGATCTTTATATTTTTTATGATTTACATTTTAATTATAATTTGCCGATTTACAACTTTAATAATTACGGTTTACAGCATAATTTACGTATTACAACTTTAATACGGCATGTTACAACTTTAAGCCGTAGTTGCAAATCAGGTAATTAATACTTACGGCAGACAACTTTAATTATTATTTTTATTTTGGATAAAAATACTGCTTCTATAAGGTAATACTTTATCCGAAAATTCTTAAAGGTATAAATTACAAAATAGTATACAATGTTTTGAAGTATTCTTTAAAGATATATATATATATATAATTTTGAAATCATTTTTTAAGAAGTTTGAAGGATCGTAAGAAAGTTATGGATTTTAATCTACAAAATCATACGTAGAATTTTAAATCAAAGAAAATCTCAATAAAATTTAATTAATAATCTTCAGACCATGTTATTAATAGAAAATTAAAAATTAAATAATCATATAGATGAGAAATTAAAATAATATAAATTATTTTTAATAAAAATGAAACAAATCGTTTTTATTTGTTGCTGACTTAGCCAAGTCTTTAAAAAAACTTCTTGTCACCTGATCACCAACGTTGAGGTGCAGCAACATTGATCAGAGGGGAAAGGGAAGGAAAAGCGAGAGAGGGAAAGGGGAAAGAACAAGGGAATAAGGGAAAGGGAAATGGGGAGAGAGAAAGCGAATGAGAGGGGAAAGGAGATCGGAAAGGAAAGAGAAGGGAAGGGAAAGAGGGAAAAGAGTAAAGGATGAGTGAAGGATAATGAAAGGGATGAAAAGGGAAGGGAAGGGAAAGAGGAAAGCGAGAGAGGGGAAAGGCAAAGAGCGAGGGAATAAAGGAAAGGAAAAGGAAGGGGAAGTGGAAAGAGCGAGGGAATACACAAACATACACACCACCTACCCATACACAACCCACATACCTAAAAGATGATATTAAAAAAAGAGAACCGAGAGAAGACCTAATAAAGAGAAGACCTAAAGAAAAGAGAAGACAAGATATTCTTGGATTATTTAATCAAGATTATTTATCGAAGAAAAACTGGGAATTTATATTATTTATGTTTTACTCAAGACAAATAGAATACATCTTAGTGATTTAATAAGTTAACATTTTTGCTTTAATTATAATTTGTTTAAACTTACGTTAACGTTAAGTAATTCGCTAATCCAGGTAACATGATTACGGGCACTATAATATCTAGTGTAAGAGACTCATAATACTCATTAATTATTTAAACAACCCACCAACAAAATTTCATTTCACGTGACTTTCGGTCGGAGTTACGGAATTAATTTTGGCGTTAGTTATTGGCATTATTAACACGTGACTCTGAAAAAATTATGAATAAAAGAAGAGAAATAATTTGTATCCAAGTTTAAGATTTTCGTTTTAAACTGAACAACGAACTTCTTTGTATATAATAAAAACTTTTCATAAGTAGTTTCTCATTAATTGTTACATTACAGTAATTTTCTAAAGGTTACGTTACCTATTTTGTTGTAATATTCAATTTTATATAATTAAAACTTAATCTGAATATAACGAAAAAAATGAGTTTAGTATAACACCCACCTGCCAAAAGTATCCGATAGCATTTTTTCGGATTTACTACGAAATCCCGACGCTTACAATCCCGACAAATCACATTATTTCCGACATTCATTATCCCGAAACTATCCTCCTAGCAATTGAAATATAATGACATAATATAGAAATTCTAAAAAATGATTTATTAAAATCTTTAATCAATATATTAAAAAAATAAAAAAATTATTATATCTTTATGACGCAATAAATTAAATTTTTATTGAATTTAAAAACNAAAAAAAAAAATTAATCAAAAATAAAAATTTATGATTTGCATTTTTACAATAAATCTTAATTTTTGCGATGTATTATTAAATTCATTAAAATATTAATAAAAAAAATATTAATTTTTAATACAATAAAACATTAATATTTGCGCAGTGATTTTGCAAATCTTATTTGAAAAGTATCATTACAGATTAATAAAAACATTAATTGTTACTTAATTTTTGCGATGTATTATTAAATTTTAACATTTATTTTTGCAATATTAAAAAAATTAATAATTTTTACAATAGAAATTATAATTTTGCGATATTTTAAAAATTATTATAAAATATTACAATAATATTACGTCTATAAAAAAAGTAATAAAAAAAAAATATCGTATCAGGAATCAGGATAGTGAGTGTCGGGATAATGAATGTCGGGAGTAATGTGGTAAGGTTCTCTTCATAAGGGTCAATTTTTTAGTTTCTATAAATAAAGAGAATACAGGTATTTCGCTTTTCTTTTCATTCAAACAAAACCTGTTACGGGATTCTGAAGTTTCGGGATTATGATTTGTCGGGATTGTGAGCGTCTGTAGCGGGATTCTGATTGTCGGATTTTGAACGGCTCACCATTTTTTCAAAGAGGTTAAATAATGATAACCATCATCTAATGATCGTAGAAAGATGAACCAAAGCTCATCAGGCCCTTCATGTGTTCATGATAGATCCTGATGTCTGATGAGAATGGCAGTAATGTATGTCCCTAGGATAAATAATAAGTTATTCTCAAATGCTAATAACTTTTCATCTATTGGAGCTAGAGACACGAAAACACTACCATTCGGTGCATTTCATCATGACGAATCAAATGAGCTTTGATTTATCCCTTTACGACCCATAGACGATGTAACGCCTTGATATTTCCACGTTAAAATTGATTTTCGAAATATTTTAACTGATTTTTAAATTTGACGCAGAAATATCAAGATGTTACATTGTCTATTAGTCGTAGGGATAGACAAAATTCGCTAAATGATGACAATAAAAATTGATATAGACTTCTTGTGATTTAACCATAAAATAATTATAGTTTTTATTACTATATAAAATTATAAATTATAAATTCAGGCATCAATTTAATCAAGCTGAAGAAATACGATTAGAGTTAAGTAATGCTGTCTTAAATCTGGTAAACATTAGATCAGTTACGTATTGTAATCGTAAATTTGTGATCGTATTATAAATAACAGTGATTTATGTTTGACAAGAAGTTATTATTTCCACGCCGGATAATTTATAAAATCGAATTCTTTATGATCACGTGAAATTGTAATTTTATAATGCCCTGAATTAGGTTTATTGTGCCATTTGGAAATTAATAAAGAAAATAGTATGATTTAATTAAAGGGGACAAAAATGTGTATGTTAACCCAAATTTTTTAGGATAAACAAACACATTTAATTTCAAATTGTTTAGCCGTGAATTAACGTATTTAGTTAATTTATAATTATTTTATATTGTACCATCCTCATGGGAGCCGTTCATACCAAAATCCCATTAAGACACAGTCCACTTCACCAATTCGAAAATTTGCAATCCCAAAATTTTAATAATTATCCTTACAAAAGATAATTCTATTAATTATCTGATTTTAACAGTATATTAGAGTAATTGCGAATATTATAATAAATAATAATAATACTTTATAAAATCTCGCATTTCGTTTATCCCACGCACCTAATGCGGTATTTTGTTTATAAAGAATGTAATAAACAAAGGGCAAATCTGAATTTTAGGGGTAATGAACTATCGGATTACGACGCCGGAATTATGTCTTATTGATTGTGGATTTTTGATTTTCGTAGTAGATCCATTTTTATGATTAAAGTCTAGATTTCCAATTATTAATTAATTTACAAATTTGTTAAATTTTAAAAATAACATTAATTGAACTTACACTCCTTGCTAAAAAAAACGACGTAATATTCACAAAGAAGTTTCTACAGAAAAAAAAAAAATTGTTACATAAATAATGTTTTCTACCACTTGCTCCATAGCTAGCAAGAACGATGTTGACAGCGCGTAAAACTATTGGCTTATTCTTTTTCTAAAGGAACTTCCATGAGTTTTTTCGAATAAGAAATTCGACACAACATGGTTCATTATATCTAACTGTCTAACGCTAATAATTACAGAAACATAATAATGTAATAATAAAGAAAAATATACCCCCCGGATTTTATGCTGATAGAGTCAAATTTGGGATTTAGCATCGTATCACGTATCACATCCTTTCATTTGACTTCCATTCAATAGAACGATATGCGTTTGAATCGTATATCTCCGACACCCCGTGTACAAATGACAGAAATCGTCAGCCTAAAATTTAAAAAAAATCTATGCACGTGACAAGATTTTTTTCGGAACAAAATTTATTTAAAAAGGTAAGAAAATTTGAAATATGTGTTAATTTAAAATTCAAATTAGCCCATTTGCTTTAATCTACACCAATTATAATAATGATCAACTCTCTATTCATTTTCAATTGCAATATATAAATTACAAATTCTGCAATATTTGTAACACAAAAGAAGTAAAATCCAATTACGATCTATCTAATAAAGTTAATTAAAAATTAGATTATAACCAAAATTATTAAAATAGCATCACTATAACTTTTTTTTTTTTTGAAAAAAAAAAAAAAAAAAAAAATAATTTTTTTGAGGATTTTTTTTCGATGGTTTCGTAATTTATAAAATTAGCCCGCATTAATTAAAATAATAAATTTTATCTAAATTTATTATTTTAATCATTTACAAAATAACTGATTCGGTTAAATAAATATAGCCGTGTAAATAAAAATAGATAAAAGTGTAATCATTAACATTATTTAAAAAATTGTTAATCATTTTATGAATAAAAATATTTCCGATTATCCTTCAAAAAAAAAAAAGATTATAAAAAATTATAAATATTTTTGCTTGGGGTCATTCAGGTCAATCTACAATAGCTAATAAACAAACAGACAAAATTTATTAAATATTTTGTGAACAAAAGATGGATCCTTTCAGTTTTTTATGGATATTCGTTCTAGGAATAGTTGTAGCCTTCGCTGGTGGTTTTAGTATTGGAGCAAACGACGTTGCAAACAGTTTCTCAACATCAGTCGGTTCGAAATCACTTACATTAAAACAAGCTTGCACTATTGCAGTATTTACCGAATTTGGAGGTGCCTTCTTATTCGGTCAAAGAACAACCGAAACTATTCGAGGGAAAATTATAAATGTCGAATTATTCTCAGATAGACCCGATTTACTTATGGTATACACATTTTCTTTATTACATATTATTAATAATGAATTTTAAAATTAAAGTTATCTTTAACTTTTAGTTGGGTATGGTCTGTGCATTATTCGGTGCTGCAGCATGGGTTATTTTTGCTACCTCAAGAGGGTGGCCTGTGTCGACTACACATTCAATAAGTTGGTAGTATTCATTCACGTGATTATTTTTATAAATAAAATTAAATTTTTTTTTTTTTTTTTCTAGTTGGAGCAATAATGGGAGTTGGTATTGCAGCTTTTGGCATGGTAAGTTTTATATAAGTTTAATTACACTCATAATAGTTTAGTTATTATTCGTAGTATTCAAAGTATTCATAGTATCTCAAATTTTTTAAATTTTTTTTTTTTAATTGAATTTTTAAGAAAGCTGTTGATTGGTCATATGAATCTGGAGTCGCCAGTATAATCACATCATGGCTCATTTCACCTTTAATAGCTAGTGTAGTAGCTTCAGCCATCTTTCTGGCAACAAAATATTTTGTTTTAATGCATCAAGATACTTCATTCCAACGCGGTTTAGTTGCCGTGCCGATTTACTTTGGAATAACGATAGCTATAAATGTTCTTTTCCTTATAACTAATGGTGTAAACTCTTTAAATCTTGATAAAGTTCCAGCCGTAATCATTGGTCCTATTGTTGTGGGTATAACATTAGTAACATCAGCATTTGCTTATTTTTTTTATGCACAGTGGTTAAGTATGTTTTATGATTTCTTCAGTTTTATATTCAATAACGAATTTTATATTTGTGGACGCTTATGCTTCAATTTTACCGATCATAGCATGTTAATTAAGTTTTGACTAATATTTTTAGGACGTAAAATTCTTGGAAAAGAAAGTAATCTAAAATGGTATCATATATTTGTTATTCCATTCATTGGACCTCGATATGAAGATTCGGATTCTATTGAGATGGGTGAACGAAATCCTACTAAAGATACAATTGATGAAAATTCATTGGATTCAATTCAAAATGAAAAGAAATCATTTTTCAAAAGGTTTTTGTCAAAATTTGGAGATTTACTTCAACGTGGTGTTGAACAAGAAGTAGCTGATTATAAAGCACATGAAACTCAAGAGATGCACGATAGCGCTGTGAGATTTGATAAGGATACGGAAAAATTATATTCTTTTCTTCAAATTATAACCGGAGCTTTCGCTTCATTCGCTCATGGATCAAATGATGTATCCAATGCTATTGGTCCATTAGCTACGATATATCTCATTTACACAACTGGTGAAGTAGATCCATCAGGTTTATCCTCTGTACCACTTTGGCTTATGGCGTTGGGTGGAGCTGCTATCGATGCTGGACTATTGTTTTATGGTTACCATGTAATGAGATCACTTGGTAATCAAATTACTTATCATAGTCCATCTCGTGGTTTCTCTATGGAACTGGGGACGTCATTAACGGTTTTAACAGCCTCAAAAGTTGGTACGTAAAAAATATATATATATATATCGAAATTCAAATTCACATAAAAGTTAAAATCTAACTTTTTTGTTCCAAAATAAAAGGATTTCCTATTTCAACAACCCACTGTATTACAGGAGCAACTGCAGGTGTGGGTTTATGTAATGGAAAATGGAAAGCTCTCAACTGGAGGCTCTTAGCATGGTGTTTCTTTAGTTGGGCATTAACCTTGCCGGTACTTAAAATTACTTATTTTACTTATTTAATGAAGTTCATGGTTCTTTTACTTAAATACTAAAATAATTGCTGTTATTTACTACTCTTATTAGGCTGCTGCAATTGTTTCCGGTAGTTTATACGCTTTTGCAATACATTCACCACGAATATAACAAAATAAATATGACGACGAGTCGCTGGTTAACTCGTGCTATGAGATATCAATATTTAATCAGAACCGTTAATACATTGGTTGTCTCCTGCTGAGAAATTAGAATACATTATAGATCCCAAAAAAAAGAGTTAATATTAACAGATATACTATCCAATAACCCAATCGATATCTGTTGATAATAATATATCAACATAAAATAATCCAAAAAAGAAGTTAAGATAAACTCACACACACATTAATTTAATTTGGGTAATTGGATGATGTAAATTTTATTGTATTTCTATGGTTTTTTTTTCTTTAACAAAATACCAAATATTTATAAATTGTATGATTTTTTTCTTTCTTTCTTGTAAACTAGTTTTTTTTTTAATTTATAGTAACATTTTTATTTTTTTTTAAGGAAAAAAACTTTTTTATTTTGTTTGGTACATTTAACTACATTATGTAGTTGTAATTTTACACTTAAAAAGGTACTAATTGAAATTGCCAATTACTGTTATTTATTAATATTTAATTCTATTTTTTGTTGGGTGGTACTTTTTTTTCTGTGAAAAGGAAGGATTTCTGGATTTGAAAAAAAAAAATTATTTAAGATCGCATTATTTTTTTTTTTTTTTTTTAAATGTCAAAAAACATCATCATTTTATATAAGCATAATAAAAAAAAAATCAGACACAATATTAAATATTAGAAAAAATTTTTTCGATAGATATCAAGTTTTTTTCGTAGTCTTCGCTTTTTTTTACTGCGGTTTATTTTTAATTTTTACCCCTAAATTATATTCCCTAATATCGGACTTCACGAAATTCATTTAATTAAAAATATGTTAATGTTTCTTTTTTTTTTTTTACAAAATCAAAACATTAATAAAAGTACATTACATTTTCATAAATTAAAATTTTTAATTTTCGGATAATCTTAATTATGAAACATTTGTACCGGTATCACTATACTACATTATAATTTACCATCAGAATATAATCTTGGGACCCTGTTTTCTATGTTACACTTTGTCGCAAAGGTATCGTTTTTTTGACCTGTACGACGTGTCTGATTCAACCCGCATAATACTTTTGCCACTTTGACAGAAATTTTATGATTCATCATAACACAAATAAATACGTAAATAATAATTTTCATCCAATAAATTGAACACGTTTGATACAGTAAATATTTGTTTCAACAATAATGGTAAATTGGCTGATTTTTTTTATATTTAAGGATAATAAAGCTAAAATTCAGGGTTCAATAAATTCGTTTGAATGTAATAAAAATAAACAATCTCGTATTTCGTATAAACAAAAAAAAATATCCGAATATGCGAAGAAATCTTGTATCAGGTACAAAATATTTAGTGTTAGTCTATTACTGTAGAAAAAGAATCGATCTTCTTTTCATGGTTTTTACTGATAATCGGGATGGATTTTCGGGATTTCCGGAGAACTACATGCATGGCGGACGATATGCATGACGGACGATTTTCACGGCTTTAATATTAACCCTATTTGTGCTATAAATAATTTACTATGATAATAATAGTATTATTTAAAATCTTGGACAATCTTATTGTTATACATTGTTACGTGACCAACGGATAGCGTGCCCTTAGCGTATATAGTCATTCGTTACACTTAAGTAAAATTTTAAATTTTATATTTAAAAAATATATAGAATGGAAATTAATTCAACGAAGTTGGTATAAATTCTAATTACTTTAAAATATTTAAATATATATATAATAAATTAAATATTTTTTTTGGGGATATTACTAAAGTACATCAGTGTTTGACCAGAATTAAAAACCTAATAAAATACTGACCGCCATTACATGTGATTACATCATAAATTCACCACTGGTAATCGTCACCACTGGTAATATTTAATAATACCTTTTTTTTCATTATATTTTTTCTTTCACTTTTTTTATAAATTTATAATTCCTTCAATTTAAGTAGTATCAAAAGAATTTTATTATAAAATAATTAACAATTCTTTTAATTTTTTTAATTTTTTGATTTTGATTTTTTATTTTTTTTATTTATTATTTTATTTTATTTATGGAAATAACTAAGCATAACCAACATTTGATTATTTTATATTATGTACAGTATATCATTACTGATCAGTGATTATTTTTTTTATTATTTAAACTATTTTTTACTCTTTTTTTTTGTTGTTTTATTTCCTTTTCTTTGCAACTTTCGATTTTTAATTATCCTGTCATAGATTATAATGAATATCAAAATAAATGATAAAGAAAATTATTCTAATAATTTAGAAAGTGAACTCAAAAATTCTAATATTACTATCTTAAACTTGAATATAAAATTTCAGTCTTGAAAAGAGTAGGATACTATATATAATTTATATATAATATCTACTTATCCAGATTATAGTATTATGATGTTAATAAATTTAAATAAAAGAAACCTAGTGGTTAGATTGATAAGTTTTGTGTTATATTAAATTTGTGATTCAACTCTTTTTTATGACTGATCCACTTGCTAGTAAGTATGTTGAAGTTTTAGAATTGTAAAAAATTACTAAAATTCATCAGTTTTAAACCACTTATAGCTTAATCCCATTTTACTTTTTTTTGTTTTTGTTTACCTTCATAGGGATCGATATTTAATTATGGTAAGAAGTTTAATCCCATTTTACAAGTAATTATATAAAATATTACATATAATTTAAATACTTCATATATAATCTAAATATTATACTTTTCTTAAAAAAAAATAATAATGTGTCTATTAATTAAGAACAATTACAAATAATTGATTATATAATTATTTAAACATTTAAAAAATAAAATACATTTATAATATTCTTTAATTAAATTCAATCTATACTAAAAATTCTAAAATAATTATATAATTTATCAAAAAATTTTTTGTATTTTAAAATTATCTAAATTAGTATAGGGTGTGCCAGAAATCAGCTGATTTGAAAAAGTGTAGGGAGTCAAGTTTCAGATCAGGTCTATATATATCAGGGCTATATATATCACGTGAAATTTACAGTCAACTCTCTTTATAGTCACACATTTGGGACAGTCCATATTTGGTAATTATAAAGAGATGTGACTATATAAAAAATTTCTTATATTAGTATATCATAATTCTGGCCAAAATTATACTTAAAACTTTATTGTATCATAACTCCACCAATATTAATCATAGAGAGATGCCATTTGATTCGTCTCGATGAGACGGTTCTAATGGTATAAAATACATCGAAATCCAATCACTAGATTAATTTCTGAAATTAAAAAAATATTAATGGTTTTTGTGTAATAACTCTGCCAATATTGGTCCTAGAGAGACGATCTTACTACCATTTGATTCGTCTTAATGCGGCGAATCTAATGGTATAAAATACATCAAAATCCAATCACTAGATCAATTTCTGAAATTAAAAAATATTAAATGGTTTTTAAGTAGTAACTCCGTTAATATTGATCACAGAGAGATGCGCTTACCACCATTCGATTCGTCTTGATGAGGCGATTCCAACAAGCTATTAATTGTCTTTTTACAATTACTAGGTACCGAGAAATTTAGCAAAATGTTAAATGGCACAGTAAATGTAAATCAAGAAATATAATAATGCTGATGCTTAACATTTTGTCAAATAATTCATCAGCCAGTGATCATAAAAGGATAAAACTACCACCATTCGATTCGTCTCAGTGAGACGATTCTAACAAGCTATGGTACATCTTTGTATGATTATTAGATGCCAAGTTACTTAATATATTCTTTATATAACTGTGATTATAAATGGTTCTTTTTAATATAAGATTTTTGAGAATAGGTGTGATAGTGACTATAGATAGATTGTGACTATATAGGATAGATTTTAATAATAAAGTGTTTTGAACATTCAACTGGTATGACTATATAGTAAAATGTGACTATAACGGGAGTGACTATAGAGGGAGTTGACTGTATACTAACATAAAGAATCTGTGTCAAAATACAGATCTGAAATAATTGTAAAATATTGTTATAATTTTACCTCTATTTTTAAAAAAAGAAAATTATCAAAATCCTATCTAGTACTTATACTTAAAGACAAAAAAAGTTAGTGCTTTTCTATAGATTTTTATTCTTATAATATATTTAAGTAATGAATAATAATAATAAAAATATTTTTGAAAATACTTGGCTATAAAGCCTTATGCAAGAGAAAAGTTTTTATTAATAAAAATTTATTGAAATATTTGTTAGATAACTTTACTATTATTTAGATACAATATATAATAAATAAATTATATTAAAGTTCTTTATTTCTTTTACTTATTTGTTCATATATTTGTATCTAAAGAAGAATACTTATAGACTGAAAAAAAAATTATAATATTTATCTGGTAAGATATTGTTCATTTCAGTAAACTGCTTACAGTCAAACTTTTATATAATAATATGTTGGAATATATATGAAATTTTTAGGAATATCATTAAATCAAAGTTATACCAATATTTATATGTTCTTATATATAGTGGAAAAATAAAATTTTATCAGTATATCAAGTTTTTAATAGTAAATTAGTATATCAAATATTGGTATATTGAAATTAGACTATATAGTGTATAAACCAAAAGTAAAGAAAAAAATATAAATATTTTTTTTACTTTGAATATATAAAAAGAAATAGGCAGGATATTTATAAAAAATATCAGATAGTTTTGTATGAATATTTTTGCTATTTTAGGAATAAAATTATTGAAAGCATTAATATAAATTATATCTCTTATATCTTTATAATTTGCAAATATATGTAGTGAGATTATCTAATAAAATATACTGTTTATTTGATATAACTCTTCTTTTTAGAAGAAAAAATTGTGCTAAAAGGAATATTTGATGAATATACCAAACTAATATAAATTTATATAGTGGAGTAATTATATATCTATATCTCGCTGTAATTTTTTTATAGGTGTAGACTAAGAGGAGGAGATCTCCTTTAATAATAAGTATATATGTGCAAACACAGTAAATACTTTCATAGCCTAAATTCTGCCTGATAGTATATATGTGGGATCCTTTTTAAGATAACGAGTGGTTTAGATTTTATTAAATTAGTTTATTTAGTTTATTTTCATTTGTATGATATATTATAAACGCATTTATTTTAATAAAGATCTAAATATGCTGCAGCAAAAAAAAAAAAATTATATATTTACTATTTATTATCTAAATTGGCTGATATGCCTCTATTGCAAAAAAAATTGGAATAAAAATCTATTATTTATTTATCATAGATCAAGATCAGAACCTTAAATAATATTGATACAACTCACATTTAAGTTTGCTTAGAGTTTATATTAAATTTTTCAAAGTTGCATATTACAGATATATTTTCAAAATTTTATTATTCATACACTCCTGTTTTAATACAACCAGTGATTTGATTTTAATAAAATTTATATTATTGGATTTGTCTCAATAAGAGGATTCTAATGATAGTAAAATCATATTTATAGCTTCAATAGCTTCAATATTGACAGAGTTACATAAATGTATTTTTACTTTAGTATTTAAAGTTTATTTGCAAATTGTATTAGTATTATTTAGTGTTCTTCATAAATCACCTATATTGGATTATGTATTGCTAATTCCTATAACTTTATTTTAAAACAGATTAATGTATAATTAACTTATACATGTAATTTCATTAGTAGGATAATAAACTAATCACTCTTATTCACTCTGTTTCTATTTTTGAATTCTTTTTTAATGACATTTTATCTTACGATCTACATGTAAATCAGGATGTGTTTTTTTATTAGTAATTCAGAACTGTGTAATGAGTGAAATAAAACATACCAGAACTTTAGGGAAAGTGTATCATGAGAACAATACAAAATTATTTCTCTTAGCTGGGTTATTAATCAAATAACAGTGATATATTACTGCGTATAACATATTTTGCAGATATAATTCATATGAACTAATGGCGTCTTACTACGCATTTCAGGTGATCGAACCTATGCTACTTAATTATGGATAGCTGTTAGCGTACATTTTATTTTTCCCAATATATTTACCCATATTACACCCATATAGACATAAACGTGTTAAAATCTTAATAAGCCAGATGCGAGCGAACAAATATTTTATTTAAGGATACAATCGAAAAAAAAATTACAAGGTGTTTGCTGTGCCATATACGATGATACTTTTTAATCTAAAAATAACCTATTCTACCTATCTAAAATTAACCTATTTGCCATCTTATTAGTTATATTTAACTTTTCCGCTTCAACAATTCCACTTCTACATAGCTCTTTTAATATTGAAGTACATTAATTCAAAAGAAAAATCTTATTTTTCGCTTACCACTCCATAGGACACAACTCTTGAATGTTGTGAAGCTTGGATTTATGGTGATAAAATATTCGATAAGACTTTTATATTCTTAGACGAAACTATTTACTAATTAAGCTATATTTTTTTTTTGATAATGTAAATCAGATTTCTTAATAGCTGTATCGAACATAGTGCATCTAAACCAATGATGTAAGTCAAAATAACTCTTCAAGCCCTTCGATTAATTCTTCGTATTCAAGTCATATGCTTGTTTATAAAGATTTTTCCACAAATTGGTTTTCACATGATTTGACCAAAAGTTCAATAACTTTTGAGCCTTAGATTTGGTGTCAAAAGCACCATTAAAGGAGATCCTCTTTATATCTGCATTTGTTGGCTTATGAAACATCAAGTAAAATGTCCTCACACAACATATTAAGTCAATTCTTGGTGAATACGTAATTTGCTCCCCTTTGATCAATGATTCCAAGATATAGTCAGGCATAACTTCGAGTGCTCCCGCAAAACTCCCAGTTTTATCTTTTGTTACACTATACCCCCAATCAATGATCACAATATGTCCATCATCATCACGTAGAAAATTATATTTACGAAGGTCCATATGTACACGATTATAATATAAATGCACCATCTTCAGAGTTTTGATAATATCTCCGATGTCCTTTTTTTGCAGATGATTAACTTTAGAACAAAGAGGAGTTGTAACAAGGTTGTTCTCACTGCCATGAAGGAGTTTCTGAAGATGAGGTGAATTTTTTGTTGAAAGCTTGTTTAAACCATTTTTTTCTGTTTTAAAACAAGACAAATATATGGGTTCCTTTGCAATTTTTACGACCACACGATTGTTATCGTTATCCTTTCCTTCATAAACGACGCTGGTTCTTCCTGTATTTATTGATCGAACCAGATTTACAGTATTTGTACCAAAGTTCAACGATGGATCGACCCATCCAAGATCATCATGAGTACATTCCATAATCGTTACTAGGTGTTTCCACCCAGTTGGAGGATTATTCGTTGTATTGAACGTTAATGTTTGGAGTGATATTCTACCATACGAAAAACGAAATTGGCCTTTCGCTTCATTTGCTTTAGTCACCTTAAACATACAAATATCAATGCAATCTGTTAACAATACATATACAAAGGATCGGCGTGGCTGAATTTGGAGTACTTTTTCTCCAAACGATATTGCATGTCCCACGTCTGCATTACTAAATCCGTTGCCGGATTGTTTCCTTATCTCACCAACGGCTACAACATTCAACGAATCTAGAGGCCATTCTTTTGGAATAAGTACAAAATCTGGTTTACGAGTATTCAACAATGGTGTAGAATGTGTGTCATGGACCATAAGTTTTGTACTATCTAATGATCCTAATGCCGTGCATTGGCGCATAAAAAATTCTTGTAACTTTTTTTCTGGGGCGTTTTCATTAGGCGGATTTCGAAACTTTCCAAGTATTCTTCTTTGGGTAGTATTGGTTAATGTAAATGGGAAGGATATGTCTTGACAAATACTTCTCACAAAAATACCCTTATCAGTTTCCGTGACAGTAGCTAAATAAAAAAATTAAATGACTTTTGCAGGAAAAGTGATCAAAGACTGAATGGATTGGATAACATACCTGGAGCACTAAACCACATTTCTTCACTTTGAAGTCGAACCTTCTTTAATTCATTTTTAAGACTACCTACATCTTCTTTAACACCAGATAATTCTTCTCTAACGACACTCTGAAATTCTCTCTTCAGATTAGAAATATTATCTGCAAAAGAATTTAACATTATTGTTAGACAGCGAGAAAGTTTGGAATATTCGGAACAGATGTGACACAAATATATATAGCAAAAATGAGGCAACAGCGACTATCAAAAATCAAGACAGGTTGTGTTCTCTCGCGTTGATTAAATCTATTACGACTCACATACCATTTGGCGAATATAACAGAAGACGAAAAAAATTACGCTATATCACGTTGACTATATTTATTATGACTCACTATTAACGGGAATTTTGATAACAACTCGAACATTTCCTTCTTTGATGCCAAACAAAGTATCTGCAATAGTACATCTTCCATCTGTTATTTCATTACTATCATTTAACATTTCCTCTGAAATATCATTAATTGAGGCGACATCAACACTCCACAACCTAAGTTTGTAGGCATCAACCCCAGCAGTATCATTTGGCATTAAACTTTAATAGCTTTCTTAAAGTCGTCAATATCATTATTCGGTTCAATATTAACTTTGAAAACTGAACGGCTTCCTTGCATAAAGCACCAAATAAGCGTAGACATTTTATGTTTATTTTGTATCACAACGATAAATGAGGAAAGAAAAAAGGATTTTTTTTTTCGAATTGGGGAATAATTTAGTTTTATACTGTGATCACAGATCTGATCAGTGACGCAACCAAATTATGGGCGCAGTAGTCGCGAATTGATTTACCAGCGTAGTGAGCGTACCCACGAGAAATCACGTGACTGTTGTTTGTCACATGTGCTTGTTTCTTTTCATTTTTTCGAGGTGTGAAATACTATTTGTCACACATTATTTGTCACATAGTTATTTCTTAATTTCTTAATGCCGGCCGTTTCGTGACATTTTTGTAGGGTACGCTGGGGTAGTCTCGCGAATTCATTCATATGATTTTTATTCGAAATCTTATTGATTGTGATTTGTGACATTAAATGTCACAGCTTGCTCCACTTTTTGACTGTGTGATTGTAAGGAATTTTTGGCATACCATGTCCGCATCCTCATATGAATCAGGAGCGGTCTGTTTGTCTACCAAATATGATTTCACTGGCAATATCAGCAGATGGTTCCTTCACTGTAGGTTTCTTACGGACTGAGATTGATTCTTTGACTACTTGTTCTGAAAGAGTTACAAGTTCAGCGCTTGTCATGGAGAGGTCCTCCTCACAGTGAGTCAAGTCTGAAGTAACGGAGGAGGAGTCTTTGGCAATCATCTTATCCTGAACCTTCTTTTCTCGCCTCCTCTCTAATTTTATGCTTTTCTTATTTACCTCAACCAAGAAAGCATCCATCTCCTTTTCCTCCGATGCCTTGACATCATCATTATTTCGCTGGTCTATCAAAGAGCTGGATAAATCAACATCTGATGTGGTTTGCTCTCCAAACCTCTTTGGTATCGCTTCTTTTATGTAGCTGACAATCCGCTACCAAAGAACCCTTTTCCAATATCGCGAATCTGGTCTCAAGCTCTGTATTTTTTTGCTCTAGTTCCTCGACTCTAATATCGCGCCTGGCATTCTCCTCAATAACCTGCCCCAGCTTTGCATTTTCAGCCTCAACCTCTGCAACCTTCTTTCTAAGTTCAGGAATCTCAGCATTCTCACAGCAAACTTCTTCCTGAGTTCGGCAATCTCAACTAAGAGCTAGTATTTAACTCTCTTAATGAATCAATAGATTGTGCGTTTGACATGATCGATAACACTTTAGTAATAAAAGATCACGTCTGCGTTCCAATTTGGAACGCAGATCACTTTGCAAGAAAAAAATTTTTATTAATATGCATGAAAAAATAAATACAAGATCGGGACTTAGCCCGTAATACATGACGTCTACGCTAGTTTCCTATACAATTATTTTTTCTTGATTATCTCTTCTACTTATTTGTGGGTTCTTCACTAGCTGATACCCTATCTTTTAACAAACCCATTATAACCTCTAAAATTCTCTTCACGTTCTTGAGTAATTCGGTTGAGTCCTTGAGTGCGTCTTCTGTTAGTGAGATTCGATATTCAGTCCTGTAGATACCTTCGGTGCTATGGAGAATGAAATACCAGTCCGTGGCTAAGAAATTGTGAACCGAGTTAGTGATGCAAAAGAGAAAAAACAGACTCGCTAGAACCACTTCTCCCAATTGTGACGATACCATAGACATGTTGTGCCCCAAATCTCAATATGCCCCAAATTGGCGATAATCATCGATGATTACTATATGTGAAAAGTAATGCTTTGAAAATTCTTAAGGTATTATAAAGATGGGCCGATAATTTAGGCCGATCGTTGATTTGGGGCAATCGTCAACTTGGGGCACAACAGACATATTCATACTCCTCGAATGCTTCGTCAGCCTTACGCTTTTCTTGAGCGTATCTAAGTTCATCTATGTTTACAGATGACAATTAGTTAGTATATTCTGATAGTCGAATGGAGGCTAACATAAAAAAGGAATTACTTACTTCGCACGAACTTCGACATTGCATTAGATTTTGTGACACGCCTTTCTCCGGCTATCACTACCATAGACGTAGTCGTAGTCGGGATCGAACGCCTCATCAACCTTTCGTTTTTTCTTGCTCATATTTATATTCATCTGGAAGGAAATAGCGAAGTAAGTTAGCAATACCCCATGATCAGCTTGTAACGAGCGAAATTGTTATACTTACATCACACGCACTTCGACATTGTAGTAAATTTTGGCAGATACCCACGGTCGCCTGATTTTGCTTGCCCTCGGTTATGCAAATTATTTCCTCCAATATTTCGCTTATAATTTTTATTGATTGCAAAGTCGACACGACTAGTGTTTTCTTCGCCAATTATATTCGCCTGAGGTGTGATTACCAAACCGTCGAGAAGGTTTACAGCCGTATGTAAGATTGTTGAAATGTACTTGCACCATACTATCTACAACTAGACCCATATTTTTTATTCTACGGAGAATGTCGTCTTTACGCAAAAAATCTACTTTCGAACCGCTTGAGTGGGAGCATTTTTTTCTTCTGTTGCAGTGACGCTAGTAGAGGTAGAAGCTGGTGTATTAGTTTCAGAGGATATTAGTTCGGACAAAAAAGTGTGTTATGTTCCGGAGTGTTGTTCGGGAAGGTACATTAATATATGTTTTTATGTCGCACAGACATTAGCATAATTTCACGGGACCCGCTTTCTCATGTACTGGTGAATATTAATACTTTATTTATGAAATAAAAACGTTGCCAGAAGCGGACAATAATACATTAAAAATTGCGAATAGATCGCTTTACATGATGTGAAAAAATCTCTAGTTTCTTATGAGAATATTAATTAGATTAGGATCGAGATCGGGCTAGTCATTCCCCCAAAATAATCTTTGACCAAAGCCCCGGGTCTCATAGTCATATCCACTTCTCTACCCAAATCGATCTTGCAGAGTGTAGCATTTATAGAAGTAACATGTCCTAGGGTTTGAAGTGCATCTTTAAGTGCTCTAACAGCTGTCACAAGAAACCAATAATAAACATAATAATACCACCTTTAATGCGAAAATTATATTAGTTCTGGTGTCTAAATGCAATGACCCATAGTGAGAAAATTACTTCGCTCCCATACATACATAACTTCTGGCATATACATACCTTATCTTGAGTTGTTTTTATGGGAATGATTTTTGCGGAAAAGTTGGCTGAACTTCTACACGCTTTATGTCCTTTTTTTCTCACTAGATTCAAAAAAAGATTAACGATAATATAGCTTTATCTGGTTTATTTTTCTCCCGAGAAAATCTATTTTTGAGTGAAGGCGGAATCTTCTCTTCACATGGAGATCTACCTGACAGACTCTAACGCCTGGCGATCTCGAAATTGCAAAGTCCTCAGCCCTTCATAACATATGCTTTTGTTGGCACTATTTACTTATAGGGTAGGTCCTGTGTTGCAACTAGACGTTCTTTCACATTTTAAAAATAAAGGTACTGGTTAGCAAGAATATTTTCTTTTCGATTATATGCTGTCTCCCACTATTTTTGTCGCACCGGAGTACATGCATTGTGGCTCAGCAAAAAATCTTCCGAAGATCGCGCAGTATTCCGGACTCGAATTTCCCGTATTAATATTGACTTATTATAACAATTATGACAAGTAATACTAATAATAAATCTGATCAAAGCGAAACACTTGCTCAATTATATGAAGTGCTTTTATATAAGAAGAAGGATATAAGGAAAAATTCGGTATTAATGGCAGAGCAAATCAAACAGCAATGCATCAAAGCAAGAAAGTGAAAACACTTGCTGATTCATATGAGCTGCTGTTACCAATACGGGATGATCTCAGTATTGATGGCACTTCGAAGCAATAAAGCTTCTACGGATATATCACTTGCGGAAATATACAATTTGCTTTTATATTTGGAAGAGGATGTAATGGAAATTCAGGAAGAACTCGGTATTGTTGGTTATACTAATCAAGAAATGGCAGAAGAAGCTGATAAAAATGCAAAAGTATATCTCCGAAAGTTTGAGAAATTTCACGGTCCCTTAGAAGGTGTTCCAAGTGTGTTAATACAGAAATTTGGCTTATTTTACAAGAGAGAGACTTCCGTTATTTCCGAAGGTCTCTCCTCGACAATTACACGAAGTGTTTGTCAAAAATCCAGCTAGCACTGGTCAGTGCCCATGTGGTGCGGCCCAGCAAAAAAAACCGTCACGAATCGTCGAATCGTGACGATCAGACTGATGCACAAACGAGGATGGATTCAGCTAAAGTAAACATTTCGACCATGCCTACTGAATCCTCTGATTTCAACTTAATCACTTAACGAAACAACCTGATCCAGAATTAATCATCAAATCCGTGTTCATTTCACATAATTGAAATTCCAAAATAATTTTGCATTTGCTAAGCCGTGGGACTCGCCATGCCTTATTTGCGGTGGAAAACATGGGTATTATAGATTACATGGCAAATGTTATAGAAAATGGAACGGAATATTGTAACAATTCAAGTAATAAATTTATTGCAACATAGTCAGTCATGTGAAATCGATGCACGATATCGGAATAGGGGCTGTGCGACGTATCTGTCATGAAATAACGTGATTTGACTGTTGTTGAACAACAATACAAGTTTGGTAACGCCGAAAGTTATTCAACACAAAAATTTTCTACTATTGATTTTTTGTTAATTTTGTTTACCGATGAATAGATAAATAATGGCAACAACTATATCACAATATAAGGGAATAACTCTAGAAGAATGGGAAGCGAAAACTAAACTTACAGAATTACAAAGGCAGAGCGTATTAGAATTACAAGATGCTTGTGCAGAGTTACCTCTTCCCGAAGGAGTAAGAATATTATATTAATTTTTTAATTAACAAAATAATGATCAATTTAAATATCAATTTTTTAAATAGGTTTTAAGCGATCTTGGACCAGGTTCTCCGCAACGTACAGCATCACCTACACCGTCTTCCGTCAAAGATAATCTCAAACAATCACCTTATTCTCGCTTAAGTACTTCACCTTTACCCAAATCACGATCCACCACAAATCTTCTAGCAGCCGAATTTCAAGCAGATGAAGCAGCTGCAACATCAACACCTGATGCATCACTTGGGATACCTCAACCAATTGAAACTACACAACAATTTTTTGATTGGTTTGCCAGAATGGAAGCTGATATGGAAAAAGATCAAGAGGATGTTTATAGGTAAATTACTATTTAATTAAATTAATTTTTGTATGTTTAAAAAAATTTTATAACTTAGTTTTTTTTTTATCAATTAGAAATTTTTTAACTGTAGTTACAATGTATAGAGAAGCTTGTTCTAAATTTTTGGAACAGATTGATACTACAGTAAAATTGTTTAATGATTTAGATAGTAATTTTAAGTTTGTTGAGGAAAGAACGAAGGCTTTGCAAACTGCTTGTGAAAAATTATTGGAAGAACAGGTTTGATTTCAATTATTACTTAACCATTAACTAAAAAAGTATATAAATGTTTTATTTCATTTATTTACTATTTACTATTCAACAATGATAAAGAATAATCTTACATCATTAGCAGATGCGATCACTGCAAAACTTTCTTATTATAATGAACTGGAGTCTATTACAAAATTATTTAATTCCCCTGGAGAGAATATTTGTGAGCAGGAGGAATTTGTATCCGTACTGGCAAAGTTAGATGAATGTTTAGAATATATGCAAACCAATGTAAGATGTATTGTTTTATATACATGTATTTTACGAGAATTTTATTACTTAAAATTTTAATTTATTAATAGCTTAGATATAGGGATTCTGAGCTTTATCTTATGAGGTTCAGGCAATGTATGACAAGGGGAATGGCCATAATTAAAATGTATTCCATTAGTACAATTAAAGGTCTTGGATTGGAAATAGCAAAAAAGAACAATCAGGTAAACATGTTGATATTATTATTTATGAATTAAATTATCAATGTAATGTTAACTTTACTATTATATAGGTCGTGAATTCAACAGTACAGACAGCTTTATTTTATGTAAAATTTAAAGCCATAGCGCCAAAATTAAAAGAGTTGGTTAATGAAATTGAGAAAAGATGTCCAGCACATAGAGAGTATGTTAAAATAATAATTTGTAAATTTATTATGGTCATAATTATTTTACCTGTTTTAACATAACTATAGATATTATTCTTTATTAAATGATTGTTATAATGCGTACTTTTCTGTACGACAGCAATTACTTATTCCTGTAATTTACACGAAAATCCAAGAATTAGAACCTACTGGGCAAGATATATTATCATTTGTAAGTCAAAAAAAAAAAAGTAAAAGAAAAAAATTTTTTTTTTTTTACAATTATTTTTTTGTATTTTAACTTGTCCTTTTATTATAGGCTCGAAATGGTTATGCATATATGTTAAATCTTTGCTCAGATGAATATTCGTTATTTTACAATTTTTTTTCAACGGGTGAAGATGATTTATAGTATGTTATGATGTTGGAATTTTATTTATCTTAATTTGTTTTTTAAAACATCAAATATTGATAAAATATATATATATTTTTTTTATTGTACATAGCGGGAATTTAGATTTATTATGTAGTTATATGTACGATTATTTAAGGCCCTGGATTATACATGAGACTAATATCGAAACATTATCTGAATTATGCGCTATACTTCAAGTGCACTTGAATCAGGATTCCGAAAAAAATGGAGGTATTAATATGATCTGGGGTTTTTTTTTAAAAAAAAAGAATATAATTAATGTAATTAATTGGATTATTGTCTTGTAGAAAAGGAGGGGCAAGGATTGCAGTTTAGTTATTTAATTCGTAATGTTCTTCAGGATACACAACAGCGTCTTGTATTTCGGGTACAAACTTTTATTCGTAATGAAATACAAAATTTTGTTCCACAACCATCTGACTTGGATTATCCAAATAAGTTAAAAGAGTTAGAAGGTAAAGATAAAAGAAATTATATTTTGCAATATATTATTTAATACTTAGTTTTTGATTTAAAAATATAGATTCAAATGAACAAGCTGAATCTGGGGAAAATAATCAAACATCCTCGGATAATTACCCTACGGGATCATCTTCGCCAGCTATTTTAGAAGTTCAACAAGACAATGGAGATGAAGAGGACGATGAATCTACAGTATCACCACAAACTAATGTTATTGACACAGGAAAGATGTATAAAGGGTGGTTTCCTACGTTACAAAGAACATTATGGGTTCTTTCAAAGCTTTACCAATGTGTTAATGTATGTTTTTTTTTTATTCAAAAGTTATTTTAATAATCATACACTTTACATGGTTGTATTTTTTTATAGACCACTATTTTTGATGATATAGCACAAGATGTCGTAGATCTGTGCTTGCAATCTTTATTAACTGCGAGTGAGCTTATATTTAAAGAGGTAACAATAATTTTACATATTTTTTTTTTTAAAAAAAAATTTTTTTTATTTAACAAATATATTATTATAGCGCAAACTTGACGGGCAGTTATTTTTGATTAAGCATTTATTGATTCTTAAAGACCAAATTGCATCTTTTGATACACAATTTATTCACGAAGAAAAAGATTTGGATTTTTCAGAAATAACAAGTAATTAATATTTATTTATTTCTTATTTGTCTTATTTGTCAAATAAAAATTATATTAATTCATTTTTTTATATAAATATATGATAGTCGCATTAAGCGAAATATTGCAGAATAAATATTCAATATTGAGTCCAAATACTTTATTAGGTTTGGCGCAAAAGGGTATTCCAAAAATAGTTGAAAGTAGAGTTGATTCAAAACAGGAAGTTGATAAAGAGTTAAAAAGGATTTGTGAAGAATTTATTACAGAAAGTGTTCAAGATGCTATTGAACCATTATCTTCTTTTATATTGAAGGTAAATTTAATATAAATTTTAATTGGTAAAATTAAATATTAATTTAATTGCCAAATGTTATATTTGTAGGTATCTGCATTTAAAATCAGAAGTAACCTTAAACCAATACATCAACAAACTTTATTAAAGAATCAAAATTTTGCACAACCAGGTATTTTTTAATTAAATTAATTAAATTTAAATCATTTTTTTTACGTAAAAAAAATTTTTTTTTTCTGATTCATAATTATTTAATAATAAATAATCCTTTAGCAAAGATTGTCGAAATTTATGAAACATTTCAGAATTCTGTTAAAGTACGACTTCAATTTATAATTAAAAAGATGTTGGAATATCTTGAAGATCGTAAAACCGTAAATATTTTACTAAAACCAATACAGGTACGATTTAGATATTAATATTTTAACCTTTTAATTTATTTATGACAATTATTTGCTTAAATTTGTTATAAAAAATTTCTTCATAGCATCAAATCATAGATACATATCAAGCATTTTATGATATATTACGACAAGAAGAATACGAATTTGATGAATTTCCCGAATCAATAGGAACTCTTGAAGAAGTTAAAGAATGGGTGAAAAGTGAATGGTTCTGGAAAGCAATTGAAGAGACAAATGATTAAAATCTATATAATATATTACGAGATCTAAATGTAATTATAATTGTCCAATAATATTATCAGAAAAAGGAAGGTGATAGAAAATCTACAACTTAGAATAATAATTTAATTTACAAATACGAGATTCAGATTTTAATTTATTACTATTATTAGAACAATTAATTGAATTTACTGTAATTGTGAGTCACAAGAGGAATTGTTTTAAAAGATACAAAATAAAATTTTCATTATTAAATTCTATATACAGCAGGCTATGGATCTAAATAATAAGATAATTAAAATAAGTAATAAAATTTAAGTGGATGGCGACGCCACTTAAAAACATTCATAAGTCAATTAAAAATTTCGGGTTTACCCGAATTTAGTAAATTGAAACATAAAGTTAATTGTGCGACTGATCACATTATTGTAATTCGGCCTTTCTCACAGCCTTATTTGCTAATGACATAATTCATGAAAATTCATGAATATTCATTTCGCCCCGCCCACTTGAGTGATTGCATTGTAGTTATATTGTTATAAATTAAAGCCATGTATGATGATCAAGATAGTAATTAGTAAATAGATAACTTTAATAAAGTCATTTAACGTTGTTTATATGCAAGATATAATAATATTTATCTCGGTTTCGTATAAATAATGATGCGTGCGAATTGCCGACTTGTAATATAAACGTCGAATAGTCAACCGAACATTTGGTCACTATTTCTTTTTCGGGATGTAAAGACTAAAAAAAGTAGCAAGTTAAAAAATGTCCAACATAGTTTATTGATGTCAAAAGAATTTGTAAAATAGTCTGTCACACAAGTTAATAAAAAAAATCTTTTTTTCTTTTTGTTCATTATTACGTACAGTAATGGATGTTTTGATCTTTTAGTTAGCGATATAATAAGTTAAAAAGTTAATGAAATTGTCGAGTAATTATGAGCAACTACTCGATATTATCGTAATAATGAAATCTTATTCATATTAAAAAAACAATTTATTCTTAATAAGGAATTAGCGATTATTAATACATATTAAATATCTTTATAATTTAAATTTGTAAATTCTTTTGGCGTGAAAATTGTCAAATCATATTATTGACAATTTTAGCATAGAAAGTACAATAGAATTTTTCTTAATGGAGTACTTTTACCCCACAGTACGCTTATTTGTTGATCCAACCGAAAATATAAATAGTCGCACAAAATAATCTGATAATTTTTTTAATAATTAATAACAACAATACGATTTTTTTTTGTACAATAATACAATAATACAAAGAAATTTCTGATTTTCTCGGTTATATATATAAAGGCCCTTTTCCTCCCTCCCTCACTTTTTAGCAAAAAACTTTTTTTCACTTCTTTTCTTTATTTTAAAAATAATATATAAAGACTCTTTCCCCATTTCTCAGAATCAAACTTATTAAATTAAAATTTTTTTTTAAAAAAATATTCTCTTTTACAAATATTCACTTTATTTTATAAAGGAATGCCTGGTGTAGTCTTACCTGCTCATCAATATCATCTACCTCTTATTAAACAACAACTTGTCTCCAAAAATCAAAATAAAAATTCCAATGAAAATATTCCTTACATTCCTCCTGAAATCATTCGTATAATTCTTAATTTATTAAAAGATGACAAGAAAACTCTTGCTGCTTGTGCTTTAGTCAACCATACTTTTAACCTTCATGTTACTCCAATTTTGTATCACTCTGTTTCCTTTTCTTTTTCATACCCTTTCACTTTTATTTCATTCGCCAATACTATTATTGATGAATCTCAACGTTCTCAATTGATCCGTCATTTGGATCTATCAAGCTTTTCTATCATAGGCTTACAAAAGAGTAAAAAGAGCATGGCTACAATTGAAAATATTGCTACTCCAAATCTTATTATACAGATTTTAAGATATTGTACAATGTTAGAATCTTTCTCCGTTTCGGAATCTTTGGAATCAGCGATAACTTTTGAAGTTTTACAAGTTCTTGCATTCGAATGTAAAAATATCAAAACTTTAGATTTTTGTGGATTGGCAAGTAAACAATTTAATTCTGCACTTACCTCTTTAACGGAAGTTATGGGATATGTCAAAATATTTTGGTATTATGAAAATGGAATACCGACATACTCATTTCAAAAAGTAAATTATGAAGCATTGCCACATCTTAAACGTCTTTCACTTCATGAATGTCCAATTATTTCCGAAACTTCCATAATTACCCTACTCGCACACTCACCAAATCTTACTCACCTTGATTTGGGTGGTTGTTCTATTAGTGATTTAACACTTAATTTTCTTGCAAATGAAACTAATATTCCACAAACATTAACACATTTATTACTCGCTAAATGTAAAAATATTTCTTCTGAAAACATTGCCGCTTTAGTAGCTGAATGTAAACGATTAGAAGTTCTTAATCTTTACGGTGACAGAGATTATGCCACAGCTATTAATGAATATGATCTTATTACAATTTTAACTTCTCCATCTGCCAAAAAATTTAAAAATTTAGATATTGGTTCATCTCATATAACACCAAATGTTTTACATACCATACAAGAAAATTGTTCAGCTTTACGGCATCTTGGAATTTCAAAAGCTCGCATTCAATCAATTACTTATCTCGTTAATTTCTTAAAAGCAATTCCAAATCTTGAATATATTGATCTTACTGGTGTGCAATGCATGACACCATTAAACGTCGCTAGCTTAATAAATAATTTACAAAAGGATCATTCGCTTCATATTATTGAAATGAGTGAATCTTTAGTTAATAAACTTGGTTCTATTGATAAATGGAAAACAAATAAGAACTATAGTAGAAGGTGGTATTTTTCTAAGCAAACATATAGACCAGATAGAGTACATTCAAGAAAATTGGATATGGCTGAATATGGGCCAGAAGGAATGAGCAAGATTTTTCAATATTACAGTTTCGATCGTTAAATATTTTTTTTGTATAAAACAACTTTTTAATTTATTATATCAAATTAGCATGACTTAAAAGCAATATATAGAATAATTAGGCAATCACTTTTATAATTTTAATATTATAATTTTAATCTTATTATTTTTAATATAATTATAGTTTGTATATATATATTTTTTCTATTTCTTGAAATATAATGTAACAAAAGAATTTTAATGTAATAAAAGAATTTTATCATATGTGAAAATATTCATGTTCCACAAAATTTCTATATCAATATCAATACTTATAAATATCTTTAAATGATCCATTCCATATGCTGTAATAAACATAAACATAAGGATAAAGCACACTTAATATTTTTAAGACTTAACATATTGAATGAAATTAAAAAACAAGATTTTCCAAAGATCTTTTTGATAAAATTACATTTTGCGAGTTCTTCAATAATATATCAGCATCTTCATCCTCAGTAGCATTATTAAAGGGATTCAGATATAGCAGATACCACTTCAAAAAAAACAATACGTAGCTCCAGAAATTAGTTGAAGCTGATAGGTCATTAAATATTTTAAAGATTGAGAATCTTCTGTATGAATGGTCCGTTTTGTGTATCACGTCCTTTCTTATCTGATTTCTATACGCTACTTGATCCTAAAAAAAATATTAAAAATGTTGAACATATGTATGATACTAATATTAAATATAAAAAATTTATATATTTTATATATTTATGGTATGTTCTTTACGAGGTTTTTCCATTTTGTTTTGGTTTGAATTGTAGTAAATTTTGTTCCAAAACACCAAAGAATGATCGATCATAGACTACCGAAATCAATCAATCTATTAAGAAGATTGAGAGCAATCAAATTCCCTGACATTATAATCGGATGGACCAATTTCAGCGTAACTTTAAATCCGTGTCTTGGAAGTTGAGAAATTAAATTTCGTCTCAGCAGTTGTGATGCAATAACGCTAAATTTTTGGAATAATCAGTTGAAAATTTTCAATCTTTACACTCCTCAATAGAATTTTTATTTCATTCTATAACAAAGATTGCATAAAATTAAAAGTAAAACAAATAAATTAAATAATAATTAAGACAAAATCGCACTCTAATTTTTTTTAATGATCTTTTACAAATTGATTTTGTGCTACTTTTCATTCTTATTCTTCTAAAGCTTCATCATCGTAATATTATTGTGTTTCATCTGATATTCCAGGATTGTCTCTTTAAAAATCTTGATCAGTAGCTTCGCCATCAAACTCGTTATCTTTACATCGATCACTGCAAAATTTGTTAATTATTTCTCGATTTGTCTTATTCTTGGTTGAACAATTTAGGTTCATTCAAGGAAAGAATTTGTCTTGAGATATGAGCAAAACCTTCTTGCAATTTGTTCTTGCATATCATAGCCTTTGAAATACATTCTTAATGATAAAAATAAAATTAATCAATGATAAATTTACACTAACGATATTAACATTCAGATAAATACCTTAATACGAGTAATCTACGCTTTAGTTACGTGAATGGGATGTTAAAATCGGGTAGTCAGCCTGCCATGTACATTTGTACGTAAACTTTGAAAGATAAAGGAATGACGTGTGCACGAGTGTTTGAAGAATATAAATAAGATGCTACAAAAAAAATGAGAAAATGATTCAAAAAATAAGTTGATCATACAAGTGAGAAGATATTTCCTCCATATACAGTATATATTACCCCCAGAATACTCTGTTAATTCGCATTTTTGAAGCCTAAATTGTAATGACTGGAATTTGTGGATTTTTTTTTTTCGAAATAATTATAACAACTGCATAGATTCTGTAGAAATTGAAATAATTATGTGGATTTCTTTTTTTTTAAAAAAAATAAAATTGAATTAAGTGGATTTTTTTTTTTTTGAAAAGAGAGAGAGAGAGAGGTGAAGTTTAGAGATTTCAAAATCGAAACAATTGTGATTTTTTTGAAATCATACAATTATTGATGATATATAAGATTATACTATTGTTATAAAAGTGTATTTTATATCAAATTGTTCTATAACTATTTAAAAGTTTGACATATGTAATATAGTAAATACAATACATTGTATATTTTCGGTATTATGTAAATTAAACATTAAATTAATATTTATTTATTAAATTATTTATCAATTTAAAACTTATATAAGGTTTTGAATATTAAGAAACGCTCCAGAACAAGACGTCTGGTAATATAATTACTCTAATTGCACCGGAAACCGAGAACTTCTTTACAGAAACTTCAAGATCGTAGCGATGGCTTAATGCGCAGTAACTGCGTTATAAATACAGTGACCACATTATGTAATCGTAAAGAAATTATATACTGTATATGCAGTTACTGCGCATTAAGCCATCGCTACGATCTTGAAGTTTCTGTAAAGTTGGAAATCGTGCAAATACATCTGTTTTGTTCGAAGATTAAGCTTCAATGATAGAATCATCACAATAATTTAATAACGAAGAATTTTCCTAAAAATGCACGTCATCTTTGGAAAATTTAGAAAGCGAATAATAATACTCTCCAGGAATGTGATGATCAAATGCAAATCGACAAAAAATAATTTAGTAGATGAAGTGTTCGATCGAGATCATAATTACTTGGATGAAGATTTAATGATCTGTCGATAATAATCCTGATGATGATGAAGATCTAACAAATTCGAAAATTATTCTCCACTGTGATAAATTTCGGATGATACTTTTAATGAAAATTGTCAACATAATATATATAGATAAAAAATTGATACTCTAAGATTTCAAACCAGGTTTCGATTGGCAGATATTGCAGTCAACACACTAACCAATTTTTTATCCGGTGCACATTTTTTTTATTAGAATAGCATCTTGGGTAGTAGACGACTTTGGTTGGACCATGGCAAGCTCACCAGATTTACCCGCTATAAGAATTTGAGCGAATTTCACACACAAAATTGATGTGCGAATAATTTATGCTAAGGGATTTTCTAGATCAAGAGAATCAAAATATTAACGTATTTAGTCCCATAAAAAAAGAATGTCCGGAAAATATCTGGAAAATTGCAATATTCCGGACGCCGAGATATTGTGAATTTCGGAAAATGTCCAGAAAATGTACAGGAGGGTTCAAGCCTGGTGCCCAGAAAGTGTCCGGAATATTGTAATTTTCCGGACATTCTTTTTTATAGGGTAGTCTGGAGAATAGTAAACGTTAGATAGTTTGAATATTGTGCATAACCATTTATTTGAACTCTCAAGACGAATTGTAGAAAAATTTGATATAACCAAATTACATCTTTTATTACATCTGAATGAATGTTGTAGGGATTATGGGCCTTCCCTTTGGTGTTTTTTCCTTTGAGAGAATGAACGGAATTATTGGTAATTTATTTTTAATATTAAATTATTCCAAAATTGTTACTTATAATTTTGAAATTATTTATAGGAAGTTTACCTAATAGTAGTCGAAAAATTGAATCAGAAATCATGCGATTTATGATGCAAAGTTCTCAAATTGAACGAAAATTTCATACGGTTTACCTAAAGATTATTGGATATCTTTCAATACAAGTACTTAAATTTAAGAATTACAAGCACTTTTTTTAAAAAAAATTAACCTCTAGCGGAGCAACAGGAGCAGAAATTTTTCTTAGACAATTTTTACCACCAATGAAATTGAATTTGGATTTGTAGATCGGTTATTACAACGTGCTTAATAAAAAAAATTTTAGCAAAGTCTGCATTTACAATGCGGCCGCCATGAGCCTCATGACTACGATTAGATTCTTCTCTATCAGAAGAAAATTATGCTGCAGTTACAAGACAAATTACACGTACAGAAGATTGTGAATTAGGCAGAACATTTTGGGTCTATAATCTATATTGTCCAGAAGCATACGTTGAGATCACGTGTAAGGAAAATTCTAAATTTTAGGAGAAATTATGTAAATGAATATATTTGCGTAAATAAATAATTAAAAAATTTTATTAAGTTCACGCTTCTTGAATGAATAAATAATTAGAAAAAAAAATTCTAAAAATTCAATTAAAATAATTAGAAACGTAAAGTGTGACCTTCCTAACCTTTTTAGTGTACATAATTCTAGATTTGGAATGTTTAATAAATAATAATAATAATAATGAAAATTTTCATTAAATGTTGTGGTGAAACTCATACAGCAACTCCTCCAAGTTTCTCCGGATTATTGGTTAGATTATGCATAATATAATTATTCAAATATCAAAATGGTTTTATTTATTGTCCTTACGCCAATTTTTTTTAATAATGCCTTTATGTAGAAATTGTAAACTTCTGTTTAACCAACCGTCAAAAAGATACAAAACTAAAAAACTTTCTACTAATATACGAAAACCTTTAACCAGTACTAATTAATATGTATCAAAGTTTATATTAATGATACTTTATTAAACCTTTAAATATAATACAGAGCAGGATATGATACGCGTGATCATTTTTGATCATATGTTCTAAAATATTAAAATATAGTACAATAAACGTCTGCTCAATTATCCATGAGGGATTATTCATTAATCCGTAAAGCATCCATGGATATCCGTTAAATTAATAATTATTCACGAATATTTACATAAATTTGATCCGGATAATTAACATTCACAGATCGCTCCACTACTCCATTATTCAAATTATAACGATTTTATATGCAGTGATGCGTAACTATTAGTTATTTATTACGATAATTCATCTTTTTACGAGATTATTTAAACGAACAATTTTTTCTCTTATAATTAATAAATATTAAATATTATTGTAATTGAGTAAATCCCCTGTCGCACTAAGTGTCACTCATGATCATCTTCATACTAATTTTTATTTTTTAAAAATTGCGAGTGATTAGCTGAGTTTATAAAGGAATCTTCGTTTACTTATTTCCCGGCCTCATATAGTTACTAATTTTAGTTTAGTTAATATTTAATGAATCACACGCCCCAAAAGATTACCCATTTATTTTCATGGGAAGGGGAACATTAGGGTTTTTTCCCTTCGGGGAAAAAACCCTATTATTCCAAACTCCCCATGAAATAAATAATACAAATAAACCACCTATAGGCATATTTAACTTTGCTTAGTCCTGTATGATATGCAGATCTTCATACTTATTACAAATTAGTTTATTATTTAGTCTAGTAGTACAGTTTGAGATTGCTGTTTGTTACACGCAATACGCCCATCCACATTAAATATTTGTTACGCGATACCTAACAAACTCGGTCTTTTTTTTTTAATTCTTTTCTTTTACTTTTTTTTTTTTTTTAAAAAAAAAAAAAATNTTTTTTTTTTTTTTTTTTTAAAAAAAAAAAAAATGTTAGAACTCAACAAAGATGTAATTTTTCTTATATTAGAAGAATTGAAAAATGATCGAAAATCTCTCTATTCATGTCTTTTAATTAATAAAACTTGGTGTGAAATGACGGTACCAATTCTATGGAAAATTCCTGGATTAAATTATTTGAATTATAATAATAATAAAAAGATTAGATTATTAAATGTAATACTTTTACATTTATCAGAAGAATCAAGAAATATTTTAAAAGATCAAGGAATCAAATTTTTTACAACTACAAAATATCAACGACCATTTTTTAATTATATTAATTTCTGGAGAAGTTTAAATTTACATCTTATAGAAGAAATTTTAAATGTTTCTATTGAACAATCCAAAATATCAATTGTTAGAAATGAAATATTAAAATTATTTATTAACAAAAATACAAAATTTATTGAACTTTATATACCACAAAAATTTAATTATCAAATACATCTTATTTCAGGGGTAGAAAATTGCTTTTCAGAACTTGAATATCTTTGTTGTGATGCTAATATCGATCAAAATATATTAAGAGGATTATCAAAAATAATCAAATCAATTAAAAAATTAAGATTTAAAGATATTATGCAATATAATGATCGTAATAAAAATATTGGAATCATTTCATTAATTGAAACTCAAGAAAATTTAGAAGATATTTGTTTCAATTGTTATTCAAATGTAAGGGATGAATCATACTGCGTATCCCTTGAAGAATCATTAATTAAAAAAGCGAATAGTATCCAACATTTAAAATTAGATTGGACACCTACTACAAATATTCTTTCATATCTTGTAAATTTAACATGTTTAGATATAAATTTAAGTTTAATAAATTTCAGTTTAATGAAATTACCTCATTACACTAATTGGAATAATTTAAAAAATATTTCTTTACCAGTTTTAGAAATTTTAAGAACTCAACAAGTTCCATCCAAAATTTTGGCAAATTTAATTGAAAATACAAAAGGATATCTTACTGAAATTAGTATTTGTTATGAAGGTGTTGATAATAAAAGACTTATTCAAGCAATTTATGAAAATTGTCCAAATCTTAAATATCTTAAATTATCTTTTATTAATAATGATATTACAGAATTAGAAAAATTATTAATTAAATGTAAACATTTAAGTGGTTTGGTTATTATTATATTTGAAAATGAACCTGATTGGGATAATTTATTCAAAGTTTTAATTAGTTCTTCTCCAATTAATTTATTTAAATTTAAATTTTCTTCTTTTAAAACTCTTAAATTAGAAACTTTAAAATTCTTTTTTGATAATTGGAAAGACAGACATCCTATTTTATTACAAACAAATTCCCTTTATAGTCTTTATAGTGCAAACACAGAAAGGCAACAACAAATAAATAATTTAGTTGAAACATACAAAAAGAAAGGAATAGTTAAAACTTATGATGTTTATTGGCAAATACATACTATCGAGGATTTTGAATGGGAAAAAACATTTTAAAACTTTTTTATTTTATTTTATGTATTTTTTAAATTGTTACATTTTTTAATAAATATTATTAAATATTATTATATATCAAATACAAGATAAAAAAATGGTGAGAAAAATAATTGTCATGTGAGTAGAGTCTTACAGTACGAAGACGTAATATACGGAACTGCTGTGGATTGGTAATATTTGTTATCTATTATCAAGAAAAACATAATATTGTATGGTATCTCAGGACTAACTAATTAGAAATGTTAACCAATAAAATTGAATTTACATTAATATTGGAATTGAAAGTTTTGCCCGAGTTTATCTATACATGATTTATAATTTATATGATTTTAGTTTTATTTAGGCGTGTGACGCAAGTTAAAAATTCTTCTTGAGCGCTAATAAAGAATAAGTTATAATGATTACGTATTACCATCTTTTGGCTCTTTATTCATTCATATAAAATTATCAAGTATAGACTTGCCAAAAGTCCGATTATAACTAATCATAATCGGGTTTTTTGATTTTGGCGTTTACTATTGGAAAACATATTCTGTACGACATGCTTTATTCACATTTACGCGAAAATAATGTATATCTGATAAAATAAATCATATTTAATAATATAATTCATCTATATGAAGATACTTATAACGAGTTATGATTTTATTAACAAAATCGTTTTTTATAATAAAACACGCTATTTTTAAATTTTTACTCAAGTCTCAACCATCGACTTATTCTTTTTTTTCTTTTTCTTTTTAAGTTGAATCTGAAAATTTCAAATCCTCGAGTTTGAAGAATTTCAAATTCTCGGCCCTACTTGGGCTTAAAAAAACATAAGACTATGATTGGAAATCTAGCCGCCGATTATTTGTCACAGTTCCAGCAAAAGTCACGTGATAGTAATTTTTTGTATATATATATATTCCTGTATTCAGTACGTTATCTTGTCCTATATATATTCCCTATAAAAAATTTTATTTCGTGTTTTTTTTTATTCCATGTTATTTCCGTAAATGTATCATATTCACGGAGTTTTAACAGAAATTACAGAAAATTTTTTACAGGGGTACAGTTGATTTTTTTTATATGATGTCCAATTGTCGATCTGCATCAAGGTAACAGCTTTCAAATATTCATTTAAAACTATTTAAACCATTTAAACCAATATATTCTAATGATAATTGCGAATTATCAAATAAAAATATCAATCATATGGACGTAGTATATTAAAATTGATGGTTGATCATGTGATCAATCAACGTGCGAGCGACATTTCAACATTTTGTTATACGTAATATGTTAGTTAAAGGATTAATGCATAAATGTAACTTCGAATCAGAAGAGCGAAGAGCGTAATAATTTACCATTTTATATATATATAACAAGTATGCAAGATGTAATATAGGACTTAATTCAATATAAGATGAATACAAGAAGCTTATCGTAAATTCATAACTGCGCAAAGAACTAGTGAATATTTATAATTTCTCTAACCAAATTAGCATTAGTTATAATATTAAGCGTTGACATTTTCGGCTTCACTTTAAGGCGAACATTTTTTGAAAAACAATTTTTATTCGAATCCGAATTGTGCGGTATTTTGTCATTTGGAGAAATGACACGTAATTTATGTTATTTTTACTACGATTGTAAGTATCATTATATGGAAAGTGTTACTCGGAATATATAACATGCATTATATTATTCATATATAATATATTATGAGAGATAAAATCATTTATGTTTTACCGTTGTGGCTTGAGTGGCTGGAACTTTTTTTTATCAGTTTAATGACGCGATTAATAAATTTTTTAAAGTTCGTTAATTATTTATTTATTTGCTGTACAATTAATTTAAATTTACATGGAAAATTATTTTTCCTCTTATCCCAAATAAACTTTTCTTTCGCAGTTTTTTTTTTATATATTAATTAATAATTATATTGATTATAAATCAAATCTGAGCTACGGTCCATGATGATGAATTTTCCGTGTGTCACTTATTACACTTATTATCTTTCTCACAAAGCAAATGTTAGATATTTTTCATTTCAAATTTATTTTTTTTTTTTGTTATATAATATTTTTCCGAATAGCAGATTGACCTGACTACAGTCTAACCTCGATATACCGATAATTGACATATACCGATGAATTTCCTTTGTCCCGTTTCGCAACTAATAAAAAACCTCATTATACCGATATTATACAGTATATAATTTCACGATATAACATATATCGATACAATTCCTTTGTCTCTTTATAGTAATGTATAACAACATATACCGATATTTTTGTTACACTGATACTTAATTTTGCCCAGCACCGTAAATTTGGCTGAGTTAACGATCATAGGAGTTTTGAAATTATTATTGGTTGGCCAAAAAGTTAACCATAATGCTGGCAAAACTAGATTTTGGGCCGCATTATAATTTGCTATCGAATTACATGTACCGATATTTTGATATACCGATATTTTTTCTAAAAAAGCGTATCGGTATATAGAGGTTTGACTGTACTGTATACCGCTACTATTCTGTCTCGTCGAAAAATTACCAATGGAACAAATTAACAACGATCAAATTATTACTGCGACTGAAGTCTATTCTTGTTCAAGTTCTATGTCAACGGCCATAAATGAAAAAACATTAGTATTTATTGTTTTTTTTTTTAAAAAAAAAAAAATAATAATTAATCAAATTAAATTAAATAAAAATCGATAATCCTTTCTTTCCTTTTTTTTTGACAAATTTCGAGGGAAGTGATGATATTATTAATGATATCTCAATTCAATTAGAAAGATCAGAATTAACACAGTACTGAAAAGGATCAACATCCGCGAAGAATTCTGTTTACGTAGAATGGCATGGAATAAATTATTCTATATCTGAAGAACATAATGTATCTTAGTGGAATAAAATTAGAAATTTTGATTCTAAATTAGTATCAGGTAAACATGTACGAAAATAATAGAAAATATTCATGGTTGTGCTAATCCAGGTAAATACTAATTTATGAATTTTGTACATGTAAATTTAAAAGGTGAGGTTCTCGCGATTATGTTACCTGGTTGTAGTAAAACCACTTTGTTAGATCTTCTTGCGATCGTGTTGGAAGTAAAGGAGTTCAATGAACTACAACTCTAAATGGTCATAAAATAACAAAAAATTCAAAGGGATTTGTTGCTTATTGTATTCAAAATGATATCTTTTTCTCTCAATTAACCGTAAAGGAATCCCTCAGTTACACTGTAAGTAACGTCGACAGACTTTTTCTGTGCAAACTGAAATGCTGCGCCATTTTCTCTCTACTTTTTATGTCCAGTACTTTTTTTTTATATATTTTTTACAAATTTAATAGGCTCGATTACGTCTTCCACGTGAATTGTCACGACGTGATAAATTAAAACAAGTTGAAATTAGAGTAAGAAAAATATAAAAAAAAATGAAGCAAATATTTCGAATATTTCAAGTTTATCTTTTGATTACTCACCCAAACCGGATATTGGTTTGTTTAGTAAAATGAATTATTTGTTAACAGTTCAGATGCAATATTGGCTCGCTTTCGTTCTCCTCCCGATTTGGCACATTTTGTCAAATTTAATGATGCCATAATATTTTCATTATCAGATTCTTTATTCAAAAATTCTTAAAGAATTCGCTGTTAAGCAAAGAAAACTATTATTATGGTTATCCACCAATCTTCATCTCAAGTATTTGAATCTTTCGATAAAATAATTTAATGACCGATGGACATATGGTCTATTTTGGTGAAAAAAGAGCTGGCGCTATCACTTTAAAAATATTAATCCAAATATTACACATCTTACTTTCTTTAAAAATTTCTCAAGATTTATTGGAAGTTTTTAAAAAATTTATCTTTAAAATATTTATTTTTAAATACTTCAAAATAACATATTGTTAAATCAACTCATAATTATAATGGATCAAGTTATTAATAATTTTATAAGATTATATTTCAAAAAATATTTTTTCAATAGGAATCGTAATAGTTGTGAAAATTTTCAAAAGTGGTTGGATAATGAATTAAAATATGTCCATTAATAATTGTAATGATAATAATAGTAGTGGTGATATATTAAAAGAATTAAAAGTTAGTGAACTTAAACCTCATAATAATAACAATTCTTATTTATTGATATTGATAGGGAGATCAAAATCCGAAATCACACAGTTGATAGACTTTGAGACGTACGTTTTATTTTAATATACAACACGTGATTACACGGCTTTATTGAATTTTATTCTCTTTTATAATTAGCTTTGATTTAATTAATATTTATCGTTTAATAATGTGGTAACCGATTAGGTAAGCATGGTATGATGGCGCTAAGTATACTGTATATACATACACATTGTAATAAATTTTGCTTTATCGCTTAACAATTTTTTAATGTAGTAATTTCTTAGAATAACGTAAAGCTTGATTTAGAAACATGGTTTCCAACTTTACCGTGCATAGTATATTTTATATGATTTATACGAGTGATTGATTTATCAAGAACTTTTAGAACTTTTAAAACCAACGAATTGATCTAATAAAATCATTTCATAAAACTATACATTTACGCGTAAAAACAGCATAAAAATTGTTACGCAACATATGCAACATACGCAACAATTTTTGATTGATTAAAGGAGTATTTGCGGGAGAAATTTTTGCCGAAACCGTGTACCATCTCATCATCCTTTAATTCTATTCGTTCCTTCAGAAACCTTTCATTACCAATTTGGGATTCTTATTTCACTTTTTTATTTTAAAAAAAGTAACGCCATTATTTCACTTTTTTATTTTAAAAAAAGTATCGCCAATATTTCACTTTTTTTTTATTTATTTTAAAATTAGTAATGCCAATTTTTTCACTTTTACTCCATAATGATGATTAATTTTCTATACTTTATATTATATTTATTATCATTTTTAAAGTGTATAAATAAAACAGTGTCACTAGGTATAGGACTATGTTGCATGGTGGTTTTAATGTACATTACTATAATGTTTTCCGGTTAACATCCATTATTGCTTGTGTAGACGCCAAAGCAACTTAAGAAACAACAACGTCTTCACGTACTAGTGCACCATATATCTGGAAGCAGGACCTTAGAAGCGCGTTAAGGATTGATTCATTCATAAGGTGAGTAAGGCATACTGTTAAACCATAAGAAGTTCCTACTGGATCCATTGCTAATAATCAAAGTGGATTTGATGGTGATGTAAAAATCCAGATAATAATAATTGGATTGGAATACGAGCTTGTCCTAATGTAATTTTTACTCAATTTTGTATGAAAAAGGATCTGAATTCTGCCACCACTGTCACCTCCACCATCAACTCCAGTACCAGCTCCATCATTGTCACTAAATTTACAGTTTATGTGCTGGAGTGCATAAATAATAAATATTATGTGGAAAGAACTACTAGAGATGTCAATGTCAGATACTCAGATTTGAAGAACACCAAAATGGATTTGGTGCAGAATGGACACATAAGTATCAGCCATTAAGAATTATTGAATCTGAACAAATTGATGACATTTACCTTAAATTGAATAAAACCCTTGATTATATGAAGAAATATGGTATTGATAATGTAAGAGGGAGTGCTTTTTCTAAAGTGAATTTATTAACAGAAAAACAGGTTATTTATCAATTACTTTCTTACATTTTAAAGTTTCTTTCTCCATTTCTTTTAAAATGAGTAAAAGAATGTGTTTTTGGGTTCTTTAATCTTTACTTTAATTTAGAAACATTCCAATGTCTTCTCTTTTAAACACTGCAGCTTTTTGGACTTTATAGAATGAAAATAAAGGCTTTGATTTAACTTTAGAAATCTCTTTTTTTTTGAACATTGCAGTCTTGCAGACCTTTTAACCTTTGAGATTTTTTAATGAATACTGAACAATATTTCAAATAAATTACAAAATATTTAATTGTATGATATATTATTGATCTTACATAAGTTTTAACATCACTTAAATTTTACATAATAAAAATATAATATACTATTGTAATACACATTCTGATACTTTTTTTTTTTTTTGTTAGTAAGGCACATTTCTTTATTATATAAATACAAAAAATAAATATGAAATACATAGCAGTATAAAAATACACTACCATATCAAGTATAGTTATATTGTATCAAAGTATAACATTAAATAACATTTGATTGAAAGAATTTCAAGAGTGAAAAAACTAAAATTCCTTCTTTAGCTATAAGCACAATGAATAGAATTTGTATACTTTTCTTGTATTAGATCAAAGTTCATAACCATAACTTGTACCAGATGGACCAGCCATTATCATACTCCATAAAAAAAAGCTTTCAGAAAGGGATGGAAGGGAGCTTTAACATCTAGTATTCTAGTTGATTAGTGTATGATTTAGATAACCAATTTTGGTTCTATAAAATCTATGCAACTTCAACAGTAAATACTGGGGAGAAAGGTGTACCTTCAGTCAACCCATTATATTTTTCTCTAGTTAAAAATCCAATGACCAATGTCTAGTAGTGCACCAATTTTTCTTTTACTACCAACATTAAAGTCATATTCACCTTGCAAAGTTGTTATAATAATCCTGTTCTGTAGAAATTTTGCATAATGAGTGTTACAAAAGTCCCTACTGTTATTGTAATAAAGTGTCAAAAATAGGAGTGGTTTCCTTGCTTTCACATATTTTCTATCTTTATCATAAAAATTGTTGGTGGACCTGGCCATCTAGGGGGATCATGCCAATATAGAAAGGTATATAGACTAACCCTCTTCTAGGAAGGCCAGTTCTCCTCTCTCTCTTTAACTTTTTTTACCTGTAAATCTGTTTTTAAACTATTAACATATACACACACAACACTACCCCTTTACCAATATATTCCATTCATCATCTTTTGTAGTTACATCTCTATCTCTCTCCAGAATCATTCCAATCATAAATCATAAGTACACCATTTCCATAACCTTTTATAAGCATAATCAATATTCAGAGTAATGTACAATCCAAAATTCATGTTAAATGTATATGAGAGAAACTATATGCAATTTCATGAATAATATCCCTATAGAGAGAGAGTTGAATAAGAAGCACATGCTTACTTTAGATAAATTCAGGATTACATGATTTCTATTGATATTTTCTGTAATATTATCATCAAGTATAATTACAAGAATTATGTTTATATAATTATCCAGATATTAATAAATATGTACATATTTTGTGTAGAAGTGCTAGTTGACATTTTGTAATTTAGAATTTTAGAAACTTAAATTTAAGATAAAATGGAATCAATACTTTTTATACTTAAATATTAAGCGTCCCACAATTGATTTTATTACATGAAAAATCTAAAAAATAAAAAATAAAAAAAAAATAAAGGGAAATGGGGTCTTTTATTTATTTATTTTTTTTTGTTATACAAACTTTTATATGGATTATAATGGAAATAGAGATATGATGTAATAATTCTGTAAAAGTACAAAAATATACAAAAAATATAATGACTCATGAATTATTTGTGTATTTTTTTCAAAACTTAATACACGTTAAAATACGAACAACAATCAAGTATATTAAATAAATCTATTTTTACTTTTATTTTTATTTTACAGAGTAAATATAGTTTTAATATAGACTACAAGAGACTATAAACATGGAAAGTATTATAAACAGAAAACTGTAAACCACTGAAAAGACAACTTCTGGAAAGAAAAAAAAAAGATAAACCTCAACGGAATAAACAAAATTAAAAATTTCCGTATTTTCTTTCGGTCAAGACCACTGTATAAGGTACAGAATGATTTACACTATTTTAAATTGTTCGCCTTTCAAATAGTCTTAAAAAATTAACAAGTCACTGGGCATCACGTGATACGTGACAGTTTACTTTGTAACACAGGTATTAAACATAAAAGTGCATTTTTTCACGGGAAAATGCAGGGGATGTGTATTACAGTATTATAAGTTATGTACAACCATATGACTTCTAAAATTGGGCTTTTATGCTTATCCAGTTATTCTGATACCCTGTAACTCCGTAAAAAACTTTCTTTCCCTTCCTAAAATTTTTTAAGATGACTTTGCCTTATTTACCAGATGATTGTATTTATTATATTTTACAATACCTTCAAAATGATCGGTCAACATTATTTAATTGTTTATTAGTTAATAGATTTTGGTGTAAATCAACTATTCCTTTACTTTATGCAAATCCTTTCGTAAATATAACTGATAAAAATTACACAATAGTCTTGACCTTAATTTTTTGTTTTAATAGAGTAGAAATGTTACAAATAAAGAATCAACTAGGATTAGGACAGATTAATAATATTAATTTTGATGAGGAGCATAAACCATTATTTGAATATCCAAAATATTTGGAAAATTATAATTATTTTACAATAAATTCCGTAATTCGTAGATTTTTTGTAAAATTATGTTCAAATTCAGGTTCATCAATTTCTCGAAATAAAATATATTGTACTATTCCAATATTTCATTATTCAATTTTACGTCAAAGTAGAAATATTAAACAATTAGATACTTTTATGTATTTATTTTATAGTAAAAGTTTTAAAAACTTTAATATTCAAAATTTCACAACAAATTTAACAAAATTGAATTCATTATCATTAAATTTTTATTTACATTACACTTTTAATAAGGAAGTTGAACAAGAATTTTTAAGTAATATATCAAATATTTGTTCAAATTTGAGAAAATTAATAATTAGTCTACCTCAAACTCAAAGATCATTACTTCAACAACATATTACTTTCGATAATTTACATTATAATATTACTTTGGAAAAACTCTGTACTATTATTCAAAAACAAAACAAACTTAAAATATTTAAGATAACGAATTGTCATTCATTATTAAAAAATATTCTTTTATCATTGGATTTTCAAAAGCATTCATTGGCTCATTCTGAATTTACAAAATGTGACTTTAATAATATTAATTTAAAAAGATTTAATAATTTATATAATTTAGAATATTTAACATTTAAGAATTGTAAAGGTACTATATTATTGGATCAACGTGAAGTTTTAAATTTTACTTCATTTAAGCTCAAGGAATTATCATTTATACGCAATAATTGGAGCGTTGACGTCACATCATTAATGATCAAATATTTAGGTGCATCATTACAAAGATTATTAATTGAAAATCCAACAATACCTATTATTGAAAATATTTTAACATATTGTTCAAAACTTAATTTTTTAAAAATAAGAATTGATACCCGTTTTAATTTATTGGTGTTACCTTATTTTAAAAATTTAAAGATAGGAATATTAAATATTAATATTTCTTATTATAATTATATTAATATTAATGAATTTTTTATAAATTTAGCAAATAATATACCCATTAATATTAGTAAAATTTCTATTTTTTGTCGTAAATCCAATAAATTTAAGGAATTTTTAGAAAATTGTCATGATAATTTTGAAATAATTAATTTATATCAAACCATTGAATTAGAATTTCTTAAAATTGTTTTAAATTATATTGAAAGGAATAACAATAGTTTAAAGGTTTTTGGTATGACGAGATTGGATAAAGAATTGAATGATGAGGAAATAAAATTATTTAATCAAATTAAAGCTAAAGGAGTTAAAATAGTGGATTTTTATAGCCTTTATAATTTTTATAGTTATGTATAATTAAGGTTTTTAGGATTCATTTGATTTATGTACTATTTTTTTTTACTTTACTCATTAAATAAAGCTATCATTTATTATTTATTACTTTTCTTAGGCACATAAAATTGATATCTTATATTTCTTATGAAATATTAAAACAGACATCCGTCATCTCCGATCTATGATTTCGATAAAATTAGGTCATATGACTCGTAATATTGACGATGTAAAAAATATTTTTTTTTATACCCTAAACAAAAATATGATATTACTTCTTTTATCTCACTTTTTCAATACGTCTACTTACTGATAATACATTGTGCTGTACACATTCTTCACTCTTTCATACAACATCCATTATTTGCTGAGCTATATTGAGAGAAAAATTATCGATCATAGTAGCGTCTAGAAACAGGTGAGTTAAAAATAAGAAAAGCCTTCTTTTCTTTGTGGTACAACTTTGAATTTTTGATCTTTTTAATTAACACTGATTTTGTGGTGTATTTCATTTGAAGAATGTTGACATGACAATTTAGAAAAATTCAACTGCGACTAACCGCATATTAAAAATCTCTGATTTGAAATGCAGAATTATTGTACTCAACCATAATACAAAGATTTGTGGCAAGTATTTCCGTTGTATGGTTTCTATTGGGTGTTAGGATCGTAGTACGTACCATATGCTACCAGCTAGTGCATATATATATATCACAAGCAATGGCTCCATATAGGTGGTCCCACAAAGTGGACTCATTGGGGGCAGGGCAGGGCGGGCCTGGAAGTGTCGCATATTTCTATGTCATACTCGATTATGATATATGGTAACATCATATTTAAAATCCGCTTCTATTTATAAATATTTACTCTCTCCATATCTGGAAGCAACTCTGATCTTGAAGTTTCTTAATCTAGTAAATAGCTGAATAGCTTTATGATATATATTCCATTTAAAAAATACATGATAATTTTATAATATACACGAAGAATCCAGCCAATTGTGTATTAAGGAGAGAATTAAGAACCATTATTTAAAATTTATTTACAAATTTGAAAACAATAAATTAATAAATTACCAACTCTATCTGATTTATTAAAAAAAAAATTATTAAAATGACACTTTTTCCCAAAAATACATAAAAGACATTAGGTATTTGTATCAGATATTTAATGTTATTTTTTTTTATTAATTATAAGAGTTAATTGATTTTACAAATCTTTAGCGTATATATACTCAAATTTTATAGGTTAATAAATACTTTAAATTAAAGCGTTAAAAAATATCTAGATTTTTAAGAATTTCTTGGTTTAACCTTAATGATTAATTCTTTACTAATCGTTATAACATCAGATCTATATTTAAGAGGTGCGTTCATATCCGCCATTTCAATATTATACTTTCTATAAATTAAGGTCAATAAGCACTTTAATTCTATCATTGCCAATTTTCTTCCCGGACAGATCCTAATTCCACCTCCCCACATAAAGAAAGAATTCTTAACGTGTTGTTTTTCAAGTAAATATTTATCACTTTCTTCAATATTATAAAATCTATCAGGGTCAAATTTTTCAGGATCAGTCCAATAATTCTTACTCATCATCATTGCGGAAAGAAACATTTGAAATGTAGTTCCTTTCGGCCAATTGTATCCTCCAAAATTATCATTTTCAACATTTACACGGCCTACTGTAAAAAACACAGGAATATGACGATATACTTCTTTTATAACTGAATCACAATATCGTAATTCATCAAGACCTTTAGATGTTACAGGATTTGTTAAATTTTTACCAAAAACTGTTTCCAATTCTTGTTGCAATTTTTGCTTCACTTCGGGATAATGTCCAAGATAATATACGATAAAGCAAAACAAATTCGCTGTCTAAAAAAAAAAAAAAAAAAAATTATTAATTTTTGAAAATATATTTAAATATATTGCAAAAATAAAAATAATTTTATACTTACAGTATCAGTTCCTCCAAGCATGGTATCGAATATATTAGCAAAAATTTCTCTGTCTTCCATTGGTCTTAAAACATCATCTTCGTGCCTTATGACATTAAGATGACGTGAAGTATTTATAATCATATGGGACGTCAACATATCATGACGAAGTGGTTGATCTAATGGTGTATTATCAATTTCAATTCTTCTTTTTTTAATAATATTAAATATTTTGTCATATAAATAATCTCTATTCTTTAATAACCTTTTCACATTTCCACTAATAAATGGAACATAACGACGAATAAATTTATTAAAAACAAAAAAAACCACCATTCCTTCTACAAAAATTTCTATTGATCGAATAAAACTTTCAGATTCTTCAATTTTCTTTTTTTCTTTTTCATTTATATTACGATTATCATTTTTAATAAGAGTATTATAATAAGAAAGAACGGAATCATTTTTTATTCCAGTCGCAATTCTAAGAATAATATCATTAGTAAATCTTCGCATCCATTTTGTAAGATTTAGTTCATAATCTTCTCCAAGATTATTCCAATAAGATTCCATTTGTTCCCATAATTCAATCGTCCATTCAATAGCTTGATTATTAAAATTTGAAGTCGACATAGATTGAGTAAAAAGTTGTCGATTATATTTCCATGATTCATATACTTCATTACTAATTATTCCTAAACCACTTGTCCTAAAATATTCTTTTAAATCTTCTGTAACAATAATTCTTAAAGGATATTTAGTTTTCTTTGAAGGTACAATCATATTTTCAATTAAATCCGGCCTACATAATACGATAAAACGTTGACTACCTAATGCTATTTCGAACATATCACCATATTTTTTATGTAATAACATAAACCAATCATTAAATTCATGTCTAAATTTTTGATGAATATTACCAAGTATCGGAATTGGAAATGGACCAGGTAAAGGATTTGGACGAGTGAAATATTTATAATAGAATTGAGTTACATATAAGATTATAAAAATTATCAAAAGAGACAATATATCTGAAGTTTTAAACGAAGAGAAAATTTCGGTTATCATTTTTATCATTTTTTTTTTTTTAAAAGTTATTAGGCACGGAGCATTCGGCGGTATGGAGGTGGGTGTTGAATGATTGGCTGCCATTGTGCTACGCATTGGCGCAAAAATTACGTTCTATTTTTCTTATTTCCATATTTTTTCAAGAGTTATAGACACAAAGAGATTGATTAATCGAAAAAAATAATATAGTACTTATAATTTATTATTATTTTTTTTATTTTAATATTTAGTTTTATGCGGTTGTAGTTTAGTATTTATTGCCTGATTAATGTACTTCTCTTAAATGTAATCTACTGTATTTATTGGCTATCTTTTGTAAATAAAATAAAGTCATTTAAATTTTATAAATAAAATAGTACTAATGCTATTTTTGTTAAATAAAAATATGATAAAAAAACCGCGTTATATATAATGAGTGAAGTCAAAATCTTATTGGTTGATCACACGGCCATGTGCACGAATTCACAAATTCTAAAGCGTACTTAGCTAATTTTATAAGAAAGGTTTCTAATTTGCTCAAAATTTAGTTTTTTCAGGATTATCAATAATGTGTTTTTGCACATTGATTCTCCGTTTCTTTAAATACTTCATTTAGTTTTCATTCAGCTTTATTTCCTTGAGAACTATAGCAAGATGGTATTTTCATCATTACAATTACTATTATTTTTAATCCAACACTTGAATAATGAATCAATTATGTAGTTGCTACTAAATCTCAATCATTTTGTTCAGGAACATGCCATTTTGCATCATGAGAACCAATAAATGCAGGATATCCTACATTAGAAAATCAGGATCATCTATATCAACCTAATTTTATAACAATTGGATGTCCTTGTGGTCTTTTTTGAAGTGAATCCGTTTTGACAAAACGAAATATAACATATCTAAATTTATTTTCGCTTTTTTATTGATCGATCTAACAAAATATGAGTAAATTATAGTCAAATTAGAGATAATAAAGGGGTACGCCAAAATGGTGGGTCAGTGCTAATACTTTATCATTTCGTTTAATACGTATTTTAATTTAATTGTTAATGCAATATTAGCATAGTGCAGATAATAAAATGATTGATTTAAAAGTTCATAGTTTTTTATTTGTGTAATTAGCGTGATATATTTTTTATGAGTTAAAAACATTAAATTATCGGGATGAAATTACGTTTACAGCTGATTTCATAATGTACGGGACACTTAGCAAATTTTAAAGAACTCGGAAATATTCGGTAAAGCTCAAAATAAGATAAAATTACTCCAAAATTAGCGTATAATTTTATTTTATATCAAGCTTTACCGAATATTTCCGAGTTCTTTAAAATTTATCATAATATATATAGTATGTGTGTAATTCCAGAATTCGTGAATTATACATTTTTCTTTTTATCTTAAAGAAGATATTAATATCTGTACGTTAATCTTCCACTTTATGTTTCGGAAAATATATATGATTTAGAAATTCCATCAGTAAAACCTGCAATGCTGAATTTAATTAATGACAGAATAATAATAATAAAAAAAAAAATTTCTCGAAAAATAGTGAACAACGGTAACAGCTAAAGATTTTATTTTTTAAAAGAAAAAATTTTACAATCTATTGATTTATTATTAATGAAAAATTGAATCCGAGTTTTTGTTGTACAAATCGTGTTTTTTTACAACACAAAACACTATTAATTATTATTTTATTATTGTTGTCATTATTATTATTAAATTAATTAATAAATTGAAATAATTTTCCTTCCCTAATTCTGTTGTTTAATGCTAAAACTACCATTACAGTACTTTTTATTTCTAACTAAAATTTATCTAGGAATTGTATGAATTTTATGTAGTGATAATGTATTAATATACAAAAAAAAAATATAAATATAAATAAACAAATAATTTACTAAATTACAAATAAAGGTTATTTTCAAAATTGCAACTGTTCAACAAATTTGCTTTGACCAGTAAAATTGGCAGAATCATGTGGTATCGGAAGTATATTAGAAACAGAATTTTTGATGCTAGAAATAAATCTCATTGATGATGATGATAAGGATGATGCAACAGATGAACCTCTACTTGTTCGTTGTCGTATATAAGCTCCTGGAGGTGTTACAGGGTAACTATCGTATGCATGACCATATTCCATTGAATCACTATCTGACAATGGAATACCTTTAGTCGCACATACCCTAGTTTTCTTTCTCACAATTATTAATGCTATCATTCCAATTGCTGCCACACCTACTACAGCACCTCCAATTGCTGGTCCTAATACATCACTATTTGCCGTATATGTATTTTCAGCATATTTGCCCGAATCTTTTGAGCCATTCTTATCTGAGCTATCCGTTCCATCTGTTGGTCTTGGTTTGCCAGATTCTCCTGATTCTCCTGGACCTCCTGGGCCCCCTGGTATTCCTGGTGCAGGTGCACCACCCGGTCCTCCCGGTATTCCTGGTGCGGGTGGTCCCCCCGGTATTCCTGGTGCAGGTGGTCCCCCCGGTATTCCTGGTGCAGGTGGTCCCCCCGGTATTCCTGGTGCAGGTGGTCCTCCCGGTATTCCTGGTGCAGGTACTTCTCCTGGAGCGGGTGCTGGTCCTCCGGGTACACCACCAGCAGGTGGAATTTCAGGTGCTTTACCACCATCAGGTTCTTTACCTCCTTGTGCAGTGGGTCCTTTACCTTCTGGTGCAGCGGGTTCTTTTCCTCCTGCTGGTGCAGCTCCTGGCGCAACTGGTTCGTTTCCTCCTGCTGGTGCAGCTCCTGGCGCAGCTCCTGGCGCAACCGGTTCTTTTCCTCCTGCTGGTGCATCTGGTTCTTTAGCTCCTGGTGCAACTGGTTCTTTTCCTCCTGCTGGTGCATCTGGTTCTTTGGCTCCTGGTGCAGCAGGCTCTGGCGCAGCAGGCTCTTTGGCTCCTGGTACAACAGGTTCTGGTACATCGGGTGGTATAATTGGTACATCTGATGGTTGTGGAACTGCGGGTAGTTTTGGTGGAGGAACGACTACGCGTGTTGGTGTAGGAACAGATTTTATATTGGTTGGAACAGTTAATGTAGGTAATTGAGGTAATTTTGGCGTTACTGATGGTATACTAATTGTTGTAGTTGGTATAGTTATTATAGTTGGTTTTTCGACGAAAATTGTGACATTATCATTTGTAGCTGTTCCATCTGTTGGTACCCCTGGTACCCCTGGTATCCCTGGTATCCCAATTTCTATATCTGTTGGTAATGGCGTTTCTGTGGGTGTTGAATTTGTAGGTGTTGAATTTGTGGGTGTTGAATCTGTAGGTGTTGGATCTGTGGGTGTTGAATCTTTGGGTGTTGGATTTGTGGGTGTTGAATTTGTTGGTCCTGGTGTATCCGATGATTTTGATGTATCTGTAGGTGTTGAAGTATCTGCGGACTTTGAAGTATTCGATGTGTCTGCAGACGATGATTTATCTGTGGTGGCTTTTGACGTATCTGTGGACGTTGACTTATTTGTTGTGTCTGGCGTATCTGTAGCTTTCGAGCTCGAGCCAGTCGAACTTGTAGTTTTATCTGTTTCCGTTGATGTCGGAGTTGGTGATTCTTTTGAACTTGTAGTGTCGGAAACTTAATAATTTTTTTTAAAAAAAGTAATAATAATAATAATTTAATTATTATAATACTATAATATAATTAAGTATATAATGAATATGTATATATATATAATATATATTACCTTTTGAGTTGACATCAATTTTAGCTTGTTTATTAAATTAATCAATTTTTAATTAGAAACTTGTTTGTGAAAATGATTAATTTTATTATTACTATTATATTTACTTACCAGAAACATTAACATCTTGTCTGGACTGAAGTTTTATCACGTGAGATAAACTGTGAATTTTCTGTAAGCTCGTTCTTGCTCGAGAGCGTATTATTCTTTTATAAAAGAGTGCGTTCACAAAGTCTATAATAAAAAGGAGATAACAATTAATGAAAAACTTTTAATAATTACTTCAAATATTAAATCTAATTGATAAAAACACTAACCGTTATCGCCTACCAATAATGAAACTATTATTAAAATCATGAGACATAGAGATCTCAATCTCATACTTTGTTCTCATGTGAATATTTTTTTTATATTAATGAAAGTAAAGTAATGGAAATAGAAGAGGTAATGAAAAGCAGAAAAGTAATAAGGAAAGAATAGGGAAGGAAAGGCGGAGAGGGGATGGAGGAAGGGAGAGGGAGGGAAGGGAAGGAAGGAAGGAATGAGAAGGAATTAAAAGGTATGAAAGGAAAGAAAGAAAGGACTAACAATAATAACAACAAAGCGGGAACGAAAAAAAAGAAAGCATTTTTTGTGCATCTCCCTTTTTATTCATTTTATTTTACGATTTGTTTATTTTATTTTTTATGTACATGCAATTAATTAACGTAATATATTGTGTATCACTGTTGATCGTATCAATTTATAGATTTTTACTCATAATCGAAATTTTTTACCAAAATTAAAATTGTACATCATTTATGGGAACAAAACAATGAGCTTAAATAATGCTGCATCACGTGATGACGTTCAAGGGTTACGTAAAAGTACAATTAAAAATATACCATTTATATCTTCTTTTTAATAAATTTAATACTTCACCTAAATGTATTATAGAATTTTTTTTATTATTTTTTTTTATTAAAATAAATTGATAGAATGAAGAACGAAGACGGAATACAAATAAAATGGACGGTTTTCCTCATGTGTTAAAATATTAATTAAAAATGTTTTTTCACAAAATAATAACATCATGTAATCCCAACTTTTCACCATCTCGACTTTTCTCACTGCAAAAGGCAACACATAATTTAAATTCTTATAAATATTTATTAACTAGTAGCACCAATTATTTTTGACAAAGGCGTCACTTCCGAACATTCGCAACTTAGAAATATAATCAGTGTAAAAGTAAATTAAGTGTTACAATTTATCACCAAGTTGCTGCCCCAAAACATTCTAAAAAATTATTGAGAGATTCCTTTTTAGTATAAAATGGTAACCGTATTTATACATTTTTAATTAAAAGATCCGATTTTGTAAAACCCAAGTACCAATTTTTTGGGTTATCTCGCTAGCGCGTGATGATGAATTCCTTAATATAGAATGGTGAGATCATCTGCACGGGAATATAAACAAAATTTAATAAATATAAATAAATATATGGGTAGTTACGATATTTCGTACTTGCATTGTTCGGTTATTTCCTAATTAGGCCTACCTGTGGAATTCAAAAATGTAAACTGTAGAAAATTGTTGGACGTTATTTTTAGAGACGCAGCAATTCTCATTAAAATTATTAAAATTGTTTCAGGAAAAAAAAAAGTAAATTATCTTTATTTATCAAACAGAAAATGTTTAATATAATAATATTATAATTATTTCTTTTTCTTTTTTCTTTTTTTTTTTTTTTTTTAAAAAAAAAAAAAAAACTTCAATCTTACAAATTATTTGTGTATAAAGCATTATGAAGTATATATGCTTTATAGCACATGCATCTTGAATATTGATTT